TCTCATGTAAAAGAAATCTGAAGGTAGGTAGTATAGGGTTGGCATGCTGTCTCTACAGTGTACCATCAGGGACCTAAGCTCATGCTATTTTTTTGTGATACCCTCGTTTGCATATGACTTCCGTTCTTAAAGTCACTCATGGACCAAGATGGCTATTGGAGATCCAGCCATTGTGTCTAAGTTCCAGGCAGCAGGAAGAAAGGAGAAGAAAGTAGAAACAGATGTATGCCAGCTATCTGTCCCCAAGAAAATGAGTGATCCTGGAAGTCTCATCTCATGTTTCCCACCCACCTCTACCTGTAAAGGAAGATGGAGACATACAGTTGTTTATCTGGTTAGTTTGGCACTTTGGAGAAAACTGAGGTTTTAAGGGAGAAGGAAGGAAAGAATAAATATTGGTGGCCAGAAGATAGCTTCCATCGTTTATCTTATGTTGACATTGCTTAGTTTCTCTTCTCGGTCTTCCTTATCCACTACAGTTGTCAAGTCATAAAAGCAACTTTTTCAGGTCCCATCTCTGCCAATAGGAAGGGTGTATCTCAAAATAAATGACTATCGTTTGAATTAAATACATTTAGCTTTATGGATAACTCCTTACATTTATTTTTCTCATTTCTTGGGTGATGAGTGAAAAAAATAGTCAGGAAATAGACCATTACTGTTCTGACCTGTGATTGGGAACTTTTGTTATAGCTTTAAGCTTTTCACCCTTAACTTTTTAGTTTGAAAATTTCAAACCTACAGAAAGGTTGTAAAATTATTATAATGAACACCCATATACCTTGTTTTGACCATCATCCCATAACTTGCATTATTATTTCTCTATATACATTTGGTGGTGGTGGTTGTTGAATCACTTGAGAATTTTATGAATTTTTAAAGTGGAAGGACACTACTTAAATATTTAAAACCCTAAAATTTTTAAGACCTTTTCTGAGAATAATTTTCAAGATAAAGACTGTGATTGAAGGCAAATGGTTACATGTAATTTCTAAAAGATAACCTCTCTTCTGGATATTTCAGAGGACCAGAACTAGAGATATTACAGACTCCTTTCAATAGACTTCAGATTCCCACTTCCTTTATGTGTTAGAACCTCTGCTGAAAGAGGTTCTCAAATGGTTATCCTGATCTGAACACCCCCACCAAAGCAAACCTATTTTAGATATAGTAATGCAAACACAAATTAGAAGTTTTAGCCTGGGCAACATGGCGAAAACCCATCTTTACAAATAAACAAATTAGCCGGGCATGGTGGTGCACACCTGTATGTGGTCCTAGCTACTCAGGTGGTTGAGGTGGGAGGATCACTTGAGCTAGAGAGGCAGAGGTTGCAGTGAGCCAAGATGGTGCCACTGCACTCCAGCCTGGGCACAGAGCAAGACCGTGTCTCAAAAAGGAGAAAAAAAAAAAAAGAAAAAAAGAAAATTTTTTACAGCGCTATTTCTGTTTGGATAATTCAGTTTGATTATGACATTAACAATGTCATCATCCTGCTGGCAAATCAGCAAAAGATGGAGTTCTCTAACAGAATGCTTACAATGTAAGAAGCAAGGAAAGACAAAATGGCCTGCTCTAGAATTTACAATCTGAAGCACTTGCTTCATCCTTGGAAGCAGCAATTCACACAGAAGTGACACATAGGTTCAAGTCCTCTAATGTTGAAAAGAGTACTATCTGGAAGATCCTTTGGGATAGGTTTGTTACTCTACCTAGACTAGGTCAGGGTGAAGCCAGATTCCAGTGCTCCATGGTTCTGCTCGGTTGCAGATAGGATTCAGGCTTATGTATGCATAATGCTCAGTTACTGCTATTTTACTGTTTTCAGTTCACTAACCAAACCATTGAGCTTATTGAAAACTGCTTTCTTTGGAGTTTCATTTCGGTAGAATGTAAGGATGTAATTTCTTTCTTCACTAATAGGACAAGCAGTACAAGGTATATGAGATGAGAAGGGATCTCTGGCCGGGCGCGGTGGCTCAAGCCTGTAATCCCAGCACTTTGGGAGGCTGAGACGGGCGGATCACGAGGTCAGGAGATCGAGACCATCCTGGCTAACACGGTGAAACCCCGTCTCTACTAAAAAAATACAAAAAACTAGCCGGGTGTGGTGGCGGGCGCCTGTAGTCCCAGCTACTCGGGAGGCTGAGGCAGGAGAATGGCGGGAACCCGGGAGGCGGAGCTTGCAGTGAGCCGAGATCCGGCCACTGCACTCCAGCCTGGGCGACAGAGCAAGACTCCTGTCTCAACAACAACAACAACAAAAAAAAAAAAAAAAAAAAAAAGAGAAGGGATCTCTGAGATCTAGTCTTATACTTGGTGCATCTAGTGGTAGATTGCAATACTGCTCATCAGATATTCCAGATTTTGTCTCTGCAGTGCTCCTCCTTGAGTGATTTGGGGATTTATTACTGTAGCATAACTTAAAACTATTCTGTCAGATACAAGGCAAGAAATGCTACACTAAAATTTTGATAAAACAAAGTTGAAAGGATAGTTTGCTTGTTAATTGGAATGGCTTCCCCCCAAACCCAAACTTTAATCTAAGTCAGATTTCCTTTATTTCTTTTATAAACGTTTAGCTTTAAAACAGTTATAGATTTGGCTGGGCGTGGTGGCTCACGCCTGTAATCCCAGTACTTTGGGAGGCCAAGGCAGGCAGATCACGAGGTCAGGAGATTGAGACCATCCTGGTCAACATGGTGAAACCCCATCTACTAAAAATACCAAAATTAGCTGGGCACGGTGGCATGTGCCTGTAATCTCAGCTACTTAGGAGGCTGAGGCAGGAGACTTGCTTGAACCAGGAAGTCGGAGGTTGCAGGGAGCCAGGATCTAGCCACTGCACTCCAGCCTGGTGACAGAGACTCCGTCCAAAAAAAAAAGTTATAGATTTACAGAATTATTAATTACATAGAGAGAATGTTCATATTCCTCACACCCAGTTTCCCCTATTATGAACATATTAGTTCCTATATTTTTACATGCTCTTTCCTTCCTGCGAATATTACAAGTCTTGTTCATTAATATATATTTCTTAAGTGCCAGCCATTTTGCTATTACTAATTGTAGGTTGGTATTCTTCAAAAGTTTTGGGAAGAATACACGAGAAAATCAAAGACATAGGGAGTGCCTTTCTATCTTCCCATAAAAATCATGTGGATCTTTTATTTTTCAGTCAAAAGGAAGACTTTATGTGAACAATCCTCTTACTGACCACCCTATAGCCATTACTGAAAATAGCCTTCTCTTTTTTTTTTTTTTTTTTTGAGACAGAGTCTCGCTCTGCCGCCCAGGCTGGAGTGCAGTGGCCGGATCTCAGCTCACTGCAAGCTCCGCCTCCCGGGTTCACGCCATTCTCCTGCCTCAGCCTCCCAGTAGCTGGGACTACAGGCGCCCGCCACCTCGCCCGGCTAGTTTTTTGTATTTTTTAGTAGAGACGGGGTTTCACCGTGTTAGCCAGGATGGTCTCGGCCTCCCAAAGTGGTGGGATTACAGGCTTGAGCCACCGCGCCCAGCGAAAATAGCCTTCTCTATATCACTGAAGCTTTAAAACTCACAACAATCTTTTATTTTTGCCTCCTGTTCGATAACTATGAAGTTTTTATTTATATCTTAATCCAAATATATCCCTTTTTTTCTTTTTTATCATTCCCATTATGACCTCCATGACGTTTAAAATGTTATGGCCATGAGCGGTGGCTCACGCCTGTAATCCCAGCACTTTGGGAGGCCGAGGTGGGCAGATCGCTTGAGGCCAGGAGTTCGAGACCAGCCTGGCCAACATGGTGAAACCCCATCTCTACTAAAAAATACAGAAATTAACCGGGCGTGGTGGTGTGCGCCTGTGATCCCAGTTACTCGGGAGGCTGAGGCAGGAGAATCGCTTGAACTCAGGAGGCGGAGGTTGCAGTGATAGGCCATTGTATTCCAGCCAAGGCCACAAAGCGAGACTCCATCTCAAAATACAGTATAAATTTAAAAAATAATAAATTAAGTTAAAAAATAGATAAAATAAAATGTACATGTTTCAATTATACAAACACAGAGGTGGTGTATTAGTCTGCTTGGCTGATGTAACAAAATACCATAGACTGAGGTGGCTGTAACACCATTTACTTCTCTCAATTCCGGAGACTAAGTCCCAGATAAAGATGGGGCAGTTTGGGTTCCAGGTGAAAGCCCCTTCTTGCTCTGTCCTCACATGGCACACAAAGGAGAACAAGCTCTTTGTTGTTTTTTCTCTTAAAGGCACTAATCCCGCCATGGGGGACCCACCCGGGTGACCTCATATAAATTGAATTACCTCCCAAAGGCTCCATCTCCAAATACCAACATATCGGGGTGGGGCGGGGCTTTAACATACGGATTGGGGGAGGAGGGAAATAGTTCCGTCCACAGCTGGTGGCAATGCCCAAGCTCAACGCAAGATTAAAGTACTGAATTACAGAGAGCTGTGAGATGAGGTTAGAAAGACTCCTCATACGGAGGTCATCAAGTGCCAGACTAAAGAGCCACTGGGCTTTTTAGATCATAAATCCGGGGGTTGCTTATGGGATGGATTTTGTTAGAGATCACGAGTGGGAACACCATTTGGGGGGGGTAATATGACAATTCCTGAGGGAAAAATAAAAACGAACACTACGACAACCACCCTCGAATGCACCACCACCAGGAAGCCTTTCCCGACGCTTCGCCAGAGAGGTTCTCTTTAAACGCGAATTTTTCTTGAGTTACCCTAGAAATGTGAGTTCCCCTCCACATCTCGCCTTCTCTCGTACACGTTCCTGTGCGTTTCCTAACCTTCCACTTCACGGTGCCTGCAGCACGCGGTGTGTCCGCGCGCCCTACAGCCCTGCACCGCGCTTCCGGCGCAGCCGCCCGCGCTCGGCCCCAGGTCCCGCCCTCCCGCATCAGGATGCGCGGACGGCGTTTGTGGACTTGACCGCAGGCCAGGAAATCCCGCGGGCCTGGCCACTTCTGGGCGCTAGGACCACAGCCGGCCACCCCACGGACGCCGGGGACGCTCTTCTGGGCCCATTTCAGGGCCGCGCGTCGGGCTCGCAACAACGGCGTCCAGCTGGCCTGAGGCGCAGGGGTGGGGCTCACGTCGTCGGACGGTTGCTTGGATTATTTTCGATTGATTTCCGAACCTTCAGGAAGCAGACACGCTCCCCTTCCTTCTTAAGAGATGATGGGGCGGCAGCCAACGAAGGCCCGAAGCCGCCTCCTTTTCTGGGTGGGGAGCTAGGAGATGCTCAGGAGGGACCTCCCCGATTCTGAGCATCATTTTTGGCAGGAGGCTACATATGAGCAGTAATTGAAATTCATCATTCTAATGTGCAGATTATGTCAGTACGGATGCTACGATAGAACAACTAAAAAATGACAGAAATGGTTTCACTGTTTTTAAACTCTGGGAGCCTACTCCTTTAAGAGATTGGGCGCCAATCCCACCTGGTCCCCGGGTGCCTTGCGCTGCTCGCCGACCCCCCCCCCTCCCAACTGGCGTCCCAGAGCTCCCTGCGCGGCGGTTTCACTTCCGGCGGGCTACGTGCGCGCGGCGAGCGACGGGCGTACTTTTGCGTGGTTGCTCCACCCCCTCAGCCTTACCTTCGCCGCCGTTGGGGCTGGAAGTTGTCGCCAGGTCGGTGCCGGGCTAGAGAGATGTTCCCCGGCCCGCCTCGGCTTTGAGGCAAGAGCAGTGTCCCAGAGCCCTTTCATCTTGCTGACGGCGTCGAGCCCCGGGCAGACATGTCCACAGGGTTCTCCTTCGGGTCCGGGACTCTGGGCTCCACCACCGTGGCCGCAGGCGGGACCGGCACGGGCGGCGGTTTCTCCTTCGGAACGGGAGCGTCTAGGTAACCGCACTTTCTCGCCTTCCTGGGCCGGATTCCCCCCGAGCCCCACCCCCGCAAAGCTCCCCTCGTGTCCCCGTCCTCTCTCTTCCTCTGGCTTCCTTCCCGGTGAGGCTGGAGAGAAGCACTTAATCTAGCCGCCCGGCGTCGTAGGCCTCTCGCTCGCCGCGGTACCCGGGCCCAGCGCGGCCTGGTGAAGTGGAGGGCGGGATGGGTTTTGTGCTGTGAGGTTTCCAGAATCCGCGTATAGTTCAGGCATTGTTTGGACCTAGTGGGGTCTTGACTGCGTGGAGGGGCCTGGGGGTCTTCCCTGGAGCTTTAGCGATGCGTCAGTCTTAGGCGTAGAATGAACGTTGAATGAATGAATGAAATTATAGCATGTTGTGGAGTTTTATGGTAGATAATTCCCATTTCATTGCAGCATTTGCGGTTTTGGATATTACGGTGTTTTAATAACTTTGTGGTTGTTTTTAACCAGCTTTTCAAGCTTCTGTGCCACATGGGACCTCATCTGCTTTTGTTAAAACAACAACAACAAAAAACACTTCTTTGCAGTGTTTTTTAGTGGTAATTTTGTGCATTATGTGCAGATTAGTATATCTGACGCAAGAATGTTGTGTTGTAATCACTCAACATTGTCTTTTACTTAAATTACGAAACGTAGGTAGCATGTTCCTCGTTTTTGTGCAACCCATTAGTCCAGGTGGCGACAAAAACATAACTGTCCAGAAAGAAACAAAGTGGTGAGGCATTTATTTTAATGAGAAATTTAAGCTTTAGAACTCAATTTTTTAAAAGATAAAGGTGGAGGGGTTCATAAAATTAAGGAGTGTGCACACTGTCAACAAGATACTTCCTGAAGCTTAAAAGATGCGGCTGTAGATTTAAAAGGCAAAAACTTAAGCATGACCTGCAGTTTAAAAAGGGAGGGAGGAGGAATCACAGGCTACACAGTCAAATTCAGAAATTTGAATTTTCATCCGTACCTCCGTTATTCTTACTCGCTCAACAGCAGGTCCTAATAATTTTACTTCTGCCATTTCCGTTTGTCTTTATTTCCAGTTCCACCACCCTGCTCAGGCTATTATCATTCATGGAACAAATATTTATTGGACAGATTCCCATGTGCAGGGCTCTGTTTTAGGTATTAAGAGTCTTGCTCTCTTGATCCTTAACATTCTTACGAAAGTACTTCTGATTCTTGTCAGATTTTTAACCAGCTGTCTTTCTTGTTTTAGATGAAAACTACTCCAATCAACTTCTTCAATCTGTTCTGCCACATTGTAGCCAGAGTAATTTTTTTAAAACATTGTCATTGCTCCCCCCTTTAATCATTTCCCGCTATCTTTAGAGTGAAGTTAAAGAAAACAGACAAACAAAAAAACTTACCATAGTCTGCAGGGTCCACTTCTGCTGGAACCTCTGGGTACTCATCTTGAGCCCGTCTTTTTATTTTAGTTATCCAGACCCACTGTTAAAAACAAACACGCAACTACCACCCGGTGCACCACTACCTGCACACAAATAAATCACTGAAATAAAGTTTCCGAGAAAGATACTAACCCCTACTTCATGGGATGCACTTTGATATTTTCTATTCTATTTCTTTTTTTTTAATGTTGTTTATGACTTGAATTAATTTTTATATTTCTCTCATGGTCCTGATCTTAGTGTGAGAAAGCCTGTCCTAGCAACATGACCTTTTCTCTTTTCAAGTGGGCTTTGCCAGCCCCTTCCTTGCCAGTATCAAATGGTCTCTTTCCCCAGAGAGGCCTTTTCTGACCTGTCAGTCTAGGGGAGATTTCTGTTCTCCTAGTACTCTTAGAGTGCTGATCACAATTGTAATCAGTTTGTTACATTTATTGTTAACTTGTTTGTTGTCAGATCTCAGCTCTAGAATAATTAATATCTGTGTTTCTCACTAACTAGAAACTGCCTGAGGGCAGGGTCTGAGTCTTACCACCTCTTCCTCAGTCCCAAGGACAGTGCCTGGCATAGAAAAAGGGCTTTAGTAACAATTTGAATGACTGAGCAAATGAGTTATTAGTAATAAGTTATAAAAAATTACCCAAGTTTTAGAGAGGCTTGGATAAATTAGTGAAAGAGGAGACAGTCTGACATAAATTTGTTAGAGTGCTGGTTGGGAGGCCTGACAGCCCCTAGTGCCACCTGGTGATTTGATGTCTTGAGGTCGGTCATTTTAGGGGAGTTCTCACATCTGGAACTCCTCAACTCAGGAGTGGGTTACCTGAGTTGATGAGTGAGATGAAGCATTTGAATATTTAGCATCAAGTCTGGCACTTGCTAAGTGCTCAGTAAATGTTAGCTATTATGTTAGCTGCCAAGTCCGCATTAGGGCAAGCTGGCAAGTTAAAATAACATTCCTGATGTGATTGAGTCAAGTTGGTTTTTATACAGCACATCCTATCAAGTGCTTGGCACATAACATTGGTTTGAGGCAATAATTGGTCAAGTCTAGGGTAGCTTTTGCTTTTCTTGAGTTTAGTAAATTTCACTGACACCAAAATTTCTCTTTTGCTTTTGTGATAGAGTAAAATTTCATTTTGATGTGTTTCTTTGGCAGCATTTTCAACTTTAATTATGTAATATTTCATAATATCTTCAGTTATGTTGTCAAGACATTAAAAAATATATATATGTATATATATATATGGCACAATCTCGGCTCACTGCAAGCTCCGCCTCCTGGGTTACTCAATTCTCCTGCCTCAGCCTCCTGAGTAGCTGGGACTACAGGCGCCACCACCACGCCCGGCTAATTTTTTTTGTATTTTTAGTAGAGACAGGGTTTCACCCTGTTAGCCAGGATGGTCTTGATCTCCTGACCTCATGATCCACCTGCCTCGGCCTCCTAAAGTACTGGGATTACAGGTGTGAGCCACTGCGCCTGGCCCTTTTTTTTTTTTTTTTTGAGGCAGAGTCTTGCTCTTGTTACCTAGCCTGAAGTGCAGTGGCGCAATCTCGGCTCACTACAGCCTCCGCCTCCTGGGTTCAATCGATTCTCCTGCCTCAGCCTCCCGAATAGCTGGGATTACAGGCACACCACCACACCAGGCTAATTTTTTTTTTTTTTTTGATATTTTTAGTAGAAACGGGGTTTCACCATGTTGGCCAGGCTGGTCTCAAACTCCTGGTTCAGGTGATCCGTCCTCTTCGGCATTCCAAGGTGTTGGAATTACAGGCGTGAGCCACTGCGCCCAGCCACCAATAATGTTTTAGTATCCCCCAGATACTCATTTATTCTACTCCACATTATATACACAACAGTTTCAAAATAACAATACGATCAGACTGACCACAGCGAAGCTAAATGTTTTGGCATATATGGCCCTTTTATGGTTGTACCTATGTTGTCTGGATATAGCCATTACATACTATATTCTTTTGCTTGTCGCGCTCACTTAGGTTTCTGTGTGTGTGATATCTCACTTAGTTTTGGTTGTAGCAATGTGTTTTTAATAATACCTTTTAAATTCAGACTAAATGTTTAAAGATCTGTGGGCCTCTTTTTTTTTTTGTGAGACGGCCTTGCTCTGTCTCCCAGGCTGGAATGCAGTGGTACAGTCTCAGCTCACTACAACCTTCACCTCCTGGGCTAAAGTGATCCTTCCACCTCAGCTTCCTGAGTAGCTGGGATTGCAGGCATGCTTCAGCACGCCTGGCTAATTTTTGTTTTTTGAAAGTTTTTTGTTGTTTTTTCGGTAGAGACACTTTTACCATGTTGCCCAGGCTGGTCTCAAGCTTCTGGGCTCAAGCAGTCTGCCTACCTCAACCTCCCAAAGTGCTGGGATTACAGGCATGAGCCACCCGGTCTGGTCAAGATCTGTGTTTTATTTGTTAGTGAGAGCTCGCAGCCCTACTTTGTCTCCCACCTCGCCTTTATCCACCCAAGGTGAACACAAACATTTTAAAGATCATTGGTGAACTAAGTACTTCCTCTTCTTTTACCTACTCAGTATGGATGGCACACCTCAAGTTCTGCCCCTTAATAAGCTCCTCCATCTCTGTTCCCCTGACAGGTGGTTAGCTCTTTGCCTCAAACTTCTGCAGTATCTCTTTGCCATCATTTGGTTCTTGATTATAATCTGCCTTATAGTAATTGTAAACTTACTGAAGGTGTGTACATTTCTGCTGCTTGAATGATCTACTGCTTGAGTATTTCCTTTCTTCCTTGTCCCCCAATGTTTGCAAAAATCTGAGTGGCTTCTTAAGCTGGTTATGCAATTGAAGACACGCGGACCCAAGTCACTTGGAGAACTCTTCTGGCTTGGAGTACAGTTATTTGTGTTGTTTTCCCCCTGGTAAACGGCATGTTCCTTGACTAGGGACTTGATCATCTTTCTGCTTCCTTGCTATTCCTGGCGTAACGCCTTGTACATAATATATTTAGTTGAATTTATAAGTATCCGTAATGATAACAGTCATAACAACATTTATTGAAGTTAATTCATCCTGTGCAATTTCTGAAGTCTTATATTTAAAAAAAAATTCTGCTGGCTGGGCGCGGTGGCTCACGCCTGTAATCCCAGCACTTTGGGAGGCCGAGGTGGGCGGATCATGAGGTCAGAAGATCGAGACCATCCTGGCTAACACGGTGAAACCCTGTCTGTACTAAAAATACAAAAAATTAGCTGGGCGTGGTGGCGGGCGCCTATAGTCCCAGCTACTTGGGAGACTGAGGCAGGAGAATGGTGTGAACCTGGGAGGCGGAGCTTGCAGTGAGCCGAGAACGCGCCACTGCACTCCAGCTTGTACAATAGAGCAAGACTCCGTCTCAAAAAAAAAAAAAATTATGCTAAGTGGGTACTGTTAATTCCTATTTTGCAGATGAGGAAATAGAGGCTCAGAAAGGTTAAGTAATGGCACACAAGTACCAGAACTTGGGGGAATTCGTACTAGAACCCAGCCACACTACTGCTGCCAGAGATTGTGAGAATTTAAAAATTATATTGGGTTCTCCCATGGTGATTACTCTTTATGGAAGAGCAGCAAAGGAAGTAATAAATATGTAGGATAAAGAGGATTCCCCATTATGCTATATAATCTCCCTTAACTCTCCTAAATAATTTTTGAAGTGCCAACTTGTCAAACTTTGCTTGCTTTCACAATTTGTCTTCCTACCTTTTCCTAGCAAATTTGAACCTCTGAGTCTTGATAAGAATAGTTGAAAAGTTGTGAACTTTGTTCACATTCACTTGTTTTTATCAGCTGTTCTTTTTTTAAGCTTTCCAACGCTCTCAGAAGAGTTTCTGTTAGTGAACACATGATCCTGAGACACGGTGATTTTGCTTTGCGTTTAACTTTTGCCAGGAAATGTGCCCACTAGTTTTTCTATTTTGCTTTTTTTGGTGGTAAAATCCCTAACTATAAGCTCTCCCCAACCCCACATTGCCCTATGAATGTGGTAATGTAGCAACATTGAAGATAACTTAAAATCACTTTTCTATGGCCATTTTAAAATATGCTAGGTTTCAAAGATTGGTGAAAGCAGAATAATTGTGATCCTTACTGATGATTACCTTGGGATCTGAAATCCTTATTGCTATAGACTGCTTTTCTTGAAATCTGGTATTGGTTTTTTTTTTTTGAGAGGGAGTCTCACTCTGTCACTCAGACTGGAGTGCAGTGACAGTATCTCGGCTCACTGCAACCTCTGCCTCCTGGGTTCAAGCAATTCTCCTGCCTCAGCCTCCTGAGTAGCTGGAATTACAGGCACATGTCACCACCATGCCCGGCTAAGTTTTGTATTTTTAGTAGAGACAAGGTTTCACCCTGTTGGTTAGGCTGATCTGGAACTCCTGACTTCGTGATCCACTCGCCTCAGCCTCCCAAAGTGCTGGGATTACAGGCATGAGCCACCATGCCCAGCCTGAAATCTGGTAGTATTGTATTTTTTAAGGCTACGTTTACATGTGGTTTTATTTTTTTTTATTTTTTATTTTTTTTGAGACGGAGTCTTGCTCTGTCGCCCAGGCTGGAGTGCAGTGGCCGGATCTCAGCTCACTGCAAGCTCCGCCTCCCGGGTTCACCCCATTCTCCTGCCTCAGCCTCCCGAGTAGCTGGGACTACAGGCGCCCGCCACCACGCCCGGCTATTTTTTGTATTTTTTAGTAGAGACGGGGTTTCACCGTGTTAGCCAGGATGGTTTCGATCTCCTGACCTCATGATCCACCCGTCTCGGCCTCCCAAAGTGCTGGGATTACAGGCTTGAGCCACCGCGCCCGGCCTTGTGGTTTTATTTTTAAGGAAGAACAGAAACGTGTTTGAACTTGGTGGGTTAAAGATAAATTTATTTTTCTTTTTGGGTCTTATGACAATGTATTTGATATGTTAAGTGAATGAAACTATCTTGAAGAGTTAATTTTTATTTTTCTTAAGTAAATATTGGCTCTAGTAGACTTCCTTTTGTGCATGTAGTTTTTGTTTTGTTTTTGTGTTTTTAAATAAGCAACCCTTCTGTGGGGCTCAATTTTGGAAATCTTGGAAGTACTGCAACTCCAGCAACTACATCTGCTCCTTCAAGTGGTTTTGGAACCGGGCTCTTTGGATCTAAACCTGCCACTGGGTTCACTCTAGGAGGAACAAATACAGGTGAGGAGGATCTGACCACATTGTCAGGGAGTAGGCTTGGGATATTCTTTCCTAAATTCTGTCCTGTATCTCCGTTTACAAGGATCATCACTGGTAGTAGACCTTAAAAAATGGTAAATACTAAGATGAAAAAAAATATAAGGAATTGGAATTAAGGGCTAGTGATATAGGCCCAATCATTGACTGTCATCTACTCTGAAGTAAGGAAGGAAAACATACAAACATTAAATTTTTAGATTGTATAATATAGAGTTTTTCCTTAGTGAAGATTGTTGTTTAAGCCAGCTTTATCAGTTTGGAACGTTAACATACATAAGATAATCAGCACCCTTACTGTAACATAATTCACTTCTTTTTTTTTTTTGATACACAGTCTTGCTCTGTTGTCTAGGCTGGAGTTCAGTGGCGCGATCATGGCCCACTGTAGCCTTGCAACCTCTTGGGTCCAAATAATCCTCCCACCTCAGCCTCCTGAGTAGATGGAACCACAGGTGTGCACCACCATGCCTGGCTTCTTTTTTTTTTTTTTTTTTTTTTACTTTTTGTAGAGAAGGGGTCTCCTCCTGGTCTTAAATTCCTGAGGTCAGGTGATCCTCCTGCCTTGGCCTCTCAGAGTGCTGGGATTGTAGGCCTGAGTTACCGTGCCTGGTCTATAATTTACATTCCTAAGAGATGTTTTACATTTTCGCATTATTAAAACAATAAGTGGGAAAAGGGCAATAGATAAAGGACTTGAAGGTTTCGAAAACAATGGAAATTTTTTGTTTTTAATACGGCTGGAAAAATAGTGTTTCACTGGAGCTGACCATTTAAAAAGTTTACTTCTTTATTTACCCTTTATTTTCTAATACTTTGTTTTCTTACTACTTTTTGCATTGATCTTCCAGCTTTGAGTGCAGCACATTTCACAGCCACATCTAGAAAATGGAAGAACGGCCGGGCGCGGTGGCTCAAGCCTGTAATCCCAGCACTTTGGGAGGCCGAGACGGGCGGATCACCAGGTCAGGAGATCGAGACCATCCTGGCTAACCCGGTGAAACCCCGTCTCTACTAAAAAATACAAAAAACTAGCCGGGCAAGGTGGCGGGCGCCTGTAGTCCCAGCTACTCGGGAGGCTGAGGCAGGAGAATGGCATGAACCCGGGAGGCGGAGCTTGCAGTGAGCTGAGATCTGGCCACTGCACTCCCGCCTGGGTGACAGCGAGACTCCGTCTCAAAAAAAAAAAAAAAAAAAAAAAAAAAAAAAAAAAGAAAATGGAAGAACGACAGGAATAAATATGAGCAGATTAGTCAGTGAGCTGCTTGAGACAGCTCAGTGTAGCATTTTGTTTGGAGTTGCTTTTTTTGGTCTTGCTTAATTTTGTTATAAGCAATAGTTATGTGCATTTTATAAATTTTATTCCTTAATCAAATTATGCACAGCTTGTAATATGAAAACCAGTGCTATAGGAAAAATGCGTGATTAGTGGTTATGGTGGCAGATACTATGATATGTATTGTTCTAATTAGAAGTGTTGTCACTCCCTGAGGGTGATTTAAGTCTTTGCCTTATGACGGGTAAACCAAAAGAATGTCATCTTCATTGATGATTAAATTTTATTTCTCTTTTTGTCCCCAGGAATAGCAACAACTATAACTACAGGATTAACTCTGGGTAAGAATTTTTGAGGAAAGATCCCAGCTCTGTGGTCTTCTAATAATTTTGATAAATTGAGTGATCTTTCTACTCTTCTTCTAATATCTCACAGAGCTGGGGTATAGAAAAAAGTGTGTGTATCACAGATGGTGACTTATCAGAGAACCTTTCAGTATTTGAGTAGTGAAAAAGGAATGACTTTGTAGAGTACTTTTATAATTCAGAAAAGTATTTTAAATGCAGAAATTGTTTTTAATGTGGAAGTTTATTTCATACTACTTTTTTTAGTCATTTGACTCCATTTAGTGGAAAAAACACCAAACTTTAAGCCAGAAATTTTGGAATTAAGCCTCTAAAATAGTTGTGAGGCCTTAGGTAATATTTGGGGGCTTTTAGTTATCTAAAAAATTGAGGGTATTGAACTAATATCCAAATACATAATACCTTCTGTACTGTTATGCTAAAGGGAATGTGATAACTAGGGTTTCAGTCAGCTTTCAATCTGGATGGCAGTAAACTATGTGAACGGAAAGGAAAAGGAAATGAAATAACATTTAGAAGCCCTTAAATTGAGTTTTAAAATAAGGATTAGCAGACTTCATTTGGATGCTACACCTGTTATTAACAGAAAACACAACACATCTGTTTATCACCAAAGTTTTGGACTAGATTGGCTACAAAGATAAGCAAGTGAATCTTCTTGTTTTCTTTTTTGCTTTTTTTCCCCCCCATCAGACAGGTTCTTCCTCTGTTGCCCAGGCTGGAGTGCAGTGGCACCATCACAGCTCACTGCAACCTCAAACTCTTGGGCTCAAGCGATCTTCCCTGAGGTTCCCAAGTAGCTAGGACTATAGGTACATACCACAATGCTTGACTAATTTTTTTTTTTTTTTTTTTTTTTAAAGAGATGGAGTTTTGCTCTTACTGCCCAGGCTGGAGTGCAATGGCGCAATCTTGGCTCACCGCAACCTCCGCCTCCTGGGTTCAAGCGATTCTCCTGCCTCAGCCTCCCAAGTAGCTGGGATTACAGACATGTGCCACCACGCCCGACAAATTTTGTATTTTTAGTAGAGGCAAGATTTCTCCATTTTCATCGGTCAGGCTGGTCTCGAACTCCCAACCTCAGATGATCCACCCGCCTTGGCCTCCCAAAGTGCTGGGATTATAGGTGTAAGCCACTGCGCCTGGCTTTTTTTTTTTTTTTTTTTTTTTGGCGAGACAAGGTCTCACTATGTTGCCTAGGCTGCTCATGGACTCCTAGCCTGAAGCCACGTGCCCTCTTTGTCCTCCCAAAGTGCTGGGATTATAGACTTGAGCCACACTACGCCTGAGTCTTGTTTTCTGAGGTTGTAACCCCATACATGATTTCAAAGTACTGTACTCTGGCAGGAACTTCTAGTTGTGATCAAGGCAATCCAGAAGCATGGTTTCTGGCTTCTTTTCTCTCAGTGATTTCAGGTTAAGTCAATGCAGGTCATTCATACATTTCTTCACTTAGTATTGTTTGAGCAGTTACTCCTTCCTAACCATGCGGCCTTGTGTATACATGATGCCTTGAACATTGAATATTATCTTGTGGCACTGGTAGTGAGGATGGTCCTTGATGAAGACATTGGGAACTGCTAAGGGTTGGAGCAAGACAGTCTGTTGTGAGGTGGAAGGGTTAGGCAGGTATATTAACGTGTTCTTGTATTATCTGATAAATTTCCTAAAAGATGTAGGAGAGGCACCATGGAAGGCAGAGGAAGAAAACAGTATGGTTTACTTTACAGGCAAGAAGCATTTCGGACAGAGGATTGGCAAATGCAAAGGCCCAGTCATAAAAGCATTCAGGGAAATACGAAACATTTTGTTCTTGGAGCTTAGAAATCAGAGGTGGAAATGGTGGGCAGAGTTGAGATTTGAGGAGCAGGTTGGGACCAGATAGGAAAGGGAGGTATATGTCATGCCTTTAGACTCTATTTTAAAGACAGTCTAGAGTTAATAGGAACCTTAAGTTGGGCAGAATCACCAGGATTATTTGTGGGGGGGTTTTGTTTGTTTTCGGTGGTGGTGTTTTGTTTTGTTTTGTTTTGTTTTGTTTTTTGAGACGGAGTTTCGCTCTTGTTGCCCAGAGTGGAGTGCAATGGCATGATCTCGGCTCACTGCAACCTCTGCCTCCCAGGTTCAAAAAATTGTCCTGTCTCAGCCTCCCGAGTAGCTGAGATTACAGACATGTGCCACCACGCCCAGTTAATTTTGTATTTTTAGTAGAGATGGGGTTTCACCATGTTGGCCAGGCTGGTCTCGAACTCCTGACCTCAGGTGATCTGCCCGCCTCAGCCTCTGAAAGTGCTGGGATTACAGATGTGAGCCACCGCACCCGGCCTTTTTTTTTTTTTTTTTAAGGTAACCAAGATAATTTTAAGGATAGATTAGAGGTTAGAAGAGACTGATACCAGAGAAATAAATACTGTTGTAGTAGTTCTTAAGAGAGAGATGGCCTAAGCTAAGGTTTTTAAGGATGCTTGTAGTACAGGATATTTCTGAAGTGCGGTCGATAGGATTTGTGACTAATGGAGTACGGGAGAAAGAAGGGATGTCAAGAACGACTGGTTTCTGGCTTGAATTGAACTGAGCAAGGTTGGAGATTTAGCAAAAAGTTTTTGTGGTGAGATATGTAGGAGGCCAAAGGGGCATCAAGATAGAACTAGACAGTGAGGACTTAGGTGAGTATCAGTTTAGACTTAATCACCTGTAGTTGAAATGATGAAAGTGGGTGAGTCATTGGGGAAGTAAGGAAGTAGGAATAGAACCCTAGGAAGTGTCATTTAAGACATGAACAGAGGAAAGACAGCTCCATAAAAAAAGGGCTGAAAAGGAATAGGGAGACAGCTGGGGGCAGACAGAGACACAGGGGCCAGAAGAAAGGAATAGAGAATGGGTATTAGAGAGGAGGGACCATTTTTCTGCTGAGAGGGAAAGGAGGAGGATAAATGCTGCATTAGAGGTAAATCTAGGAGTAGAATTAAAATCGATGTATTACATTGATTAGATTTTTTTTGTTTTTTCTTTTTTTTTTGGAGACAGAGTCTCTTGTCTCCCAGGCTGGAGTGCAGTGGTGCGATTTCAGCTTACTGCAGCTTCCCCCTCCCAGATTCAAGTGACTATCATGCCTCAGCATCCCGAGTAGCTGGGGTTACAGGTGTGCACCACCATACTCGACTAATTTTTGTATTTTTAGTAGAGGAGGCGTTTCACCATGTTGGCCAGGCTGGTCTCGAACTCCTGACCTCAAGCGATCTGCCCATTTGGGCCTCCCTAAGTGTTGGGATTACAGGCATGAGCCAGTACCAGGCCATTCTTTTGTTTTTCTTAACTCAAAAAGCCATCTTTTTTGTGTTCACCATGGTTTAGTCTCAACTTCTACATATTTTCTCTCACAGACACATCCGCCTTCTGTTGGCAAAAGGTAGTATCACAAACTTTTAGGGATCCATATTGAAACCAGTGTAATAGAACACTTACAGGTAAAGTAGAATTTTGTTTGTTTACTTATTTATTTATTTAAATAGGAACGCCAGCCACTACATCTGCAGCTACAACAGGCTTCAGTTTAGGATTCAACAAACCTGCAGCATCTGCCACACCATTTGCTCTACCTATTGCTTCTACCTCAGCTAGCGGTCTGACTCTTTCGTCTGCTCTGACATCAACTCCAGCAGGTGAGGTAGAATGAAAAATCGTTGCATTCAATGGTTAAATTTCAATTTTACCTGGTTACAGAACATAGATAGTCACCTTTACTAAACATAACTTAGGATTTTGACTACAGAAATTATTGATTTATAAAGAAGAAAATACAGCTTTCAGCATTGAAGCAGGAGAGGCTGTCTTGGGAGATAGTTCCTATTTAAAGAGCAAAGCAGGGGAGAGGGCTAGAGAGGTAAAATGTAAACTTGTTAATGTTGACTTTGTTTTCATGGAGCCATTTAGTGACAGGGAAAGACAAAGACTTGGCATAAACCTCGCCTATCTTTTGATTCATTTAATATGAAGGTGAAGTTGATGGCCTGGGGTGAAGACAATATTGCTGTCTAGAATCAGTTACCTGGTGCTATTGTAATATTCCTCAAAGCCCTTATTTCTGTCCCAGATTTTTGCTTTAAAGCTGCTGTTTCTCTTTATTCTTAAGTATGTAATTTTATCTTTAGCAAGTAGTTCTTCCAAAGAGCCAATTTTATCATGGATGTCAGTTTTTAAAAACATCGTATTTGTATTTTTCTTTTTTTTTTTTTTTTTTTTGAGATGGAGTCTCACTCTGTCGCCCAGGCTGGAGTACAGTGGCCGGATCTCAGCTCACTGCAAGCTCTGCCTCCCGGGTTCCCGCCATTCTCCTGCCTCAGCCTCCCGGGTAGCTGGGACTACAGGCGCCCGCCACCTCGCCCGGCTAGTTTTTTGTCTTTTTTGGTAGAGACGGGGTTTCACCGTGTTAGCCAGGATGGTCTCGATCTCCTGACCTCGTGATCCGCCCGTCTCGGCCTCCCAAAGTGCTGGGATTACAGGCTTGAGCCACCGCGCCCGGCCGTATTTGTATTTTTCTATGATGCTGTTAAATAAGTTGCCTTTTGAAAGCTTACTATCTCTTTTTTTTTTACAGCATCCACAGGATTTACTCTAAATAATTTGGGTGGGACAACAGCCACCACTACAACTGCATCAACAGGCCTCTCTTTAGGGGGAGCCTTAGCTGGTTTGGGAGGTTCACTTTTCCAGAGTACAAACACAGGAACATCAGGTAATTGATGGTATTTATTCTCCAGAATAGTAAATATTTATATTTAAATGTACTTATTTTTATTTTAGCCCTTTGAGCACATCACTTTTTCTCTTTAATCTGCATATTTTCCTTTAAATATGAAAACTAAATTATAAAATGATGGTTTTCATACATAATTGGATGTATTCGCCATATTTTATTTATTTATTTATTTTGGGATGGAGTCTTGCTCTGTCACCCAGGCTGGAGTGCAGTGGCGTGATCTTCTTTCACTGTAACCTCCACCTCCAGGGTTCAAGAGAGATTCTCCTGCCTCAGCCTCTTGAGTAGCTGGGATTACAGGTGTGTGCCAGCATGCCTGGCTAATTTTTGTGTTTTTAGTAGAGATGGGGGTTTCACCATGTTGGCCAAGCTGGTCTCAAACTCCTGACCTCAAGTGATCTGGCTGCCTCGCCTCCCGAAGTGCTGAGATTACAGGCATAAGCCACCGCACCCGACCTATTAGCCGTATTTTAGAAATCCATTTTCCTCTTTCTCAATATTGACTAACTAGATAAGAAAACAAAGAAGAGCCTGTTTAAGGAGTCAGTAAATTGATCTAGAGATAACATTTTTTCTAAAAAGAACAAAAGTTATATCAGCTCAGGAATGCATGGTCTTATAGAAGTATAGATTTATTAGGCTGGGCGCGGGGGCTCACACCTGTAATCCCAGCACTTTGGGAGGCCAAAGCAGGTGGATCACCTGAGGTCAGAAGTTTGAGACCGGCCTGGCCAACGTGGTGAAACACCCCGTTTCTAGTAAAAAGACAAAATTAGCCGGGTATGGTGCTGCGTGCCTATAATCCAAGCTGTTTGGGAGGCTGAGGCAGGAGAATCACTTGAACTGAGGAGGCAGCCGTTGCAGTGAGCCGAGATCATGCCGTTGCACTCCAGCCTGGACAACAAGAGTGAAACTCCATCTCAAAATAATAATAATAAAGAAATAGAGATTTATCAACGCAAGATTCTTGAAATTTTGCTACTTGACTCACAAGTATACATTAATGACTTATGATTAACCATAGTCTGGTCCTTTTTATTCTTTTTGTCAGGGAGGGAAGATTTAAATAAACAAATGAATTCTAATACTTTTTTTTAAGTTTGTGAAAAGAATTTGGGAGTATGAAATTATATTCAATACATGTTATATTCAAATCTTACAAATTCACACTAGGCTCTCTTAAAAGTATGCAGTTACAAAGTGTGTTCAGAAGGCAAGATGTATTCACCTGAAAATACACCAACTGAAACTGCTTTTGTAGAGAGGGTTTAAAAGCCCTCTAACAAAACCCCTTTATAACAAAGATTGAATGTCTGCTTATTAAATTGATATACATTCTGGCCCGTCTAATAATGACAAATCGCATCATCCAACCTACATATACCATTGCATTCAAGAAAGGGTATCAGTCTTTGACCAAAACATGCTCCAGACTTGTTTCTTGTTATTTGCCTAAATCAAATATCAAGAAAATCTAGGATCCAACTTTAAAAGCATTAAAGTCCTTTGAACAGTAAGGGAAAATTGTTGTTGTCTTTCGGTGGAATTTATAAGTGATGTTTTATTTATAGGACTTGGACAGAATGCTTTAGGGTTGACTTTGGGAACTACAGCAGCTACTTCAACTGCAGGCAATGAAGGCCTTGGTGGTATAGATTTCAGTAGCTCCTCAGATAAAAAGAGTAAGTAGTAATGCTGTTGTAACTTTTATGTTCTAACAGTACTGTTGAGGGAATGTCTAGGTTGTTGTAAATTCTTTTGTGTGAAAGATTAGTAGTTTATATTTAGTAGTAACAGTTTTTACTTTTAAATTTGTTTGTATTAATATTTCACAAATTTTGTGTGTGTTCATTTAAGGTTTTATTTTTGTAGATAACAGATTTGTATGTGCTTGTCTTATGTAGCTATTTTAATGTGTATACGAATATGTATTTTTTAATAGGGATCATGATACATACGCAGTATTGTTTTGTAGTCTGTTCTTATGTAACATATCAGAAGCATTTGTCTGTTGGTAATTCTTTTTAAATATTTTAATGCTGCTTAATATCAGTTTTATGGATGGATAATTTAGTCAACCATTGTTCTCGTTAGATGTTTATTTCCAGATGTTTTACTCTGGGAAGTAAAACATTGGGCATCTTTATCTAAAAAGGCAACATAATATAGTAGTTTAAGAGTGTCTACTATGGAGTGGAATTGCCTGGGTTCAGATCCTGGCTCAACTGCTTGTAAGCTCTTTGACCTTATTGAAGTTACTTATATTGTATGCTTTAGTTTTCCTTATCTGTTAAATGGTTTGAGGGTTGCTATTTGTAAAACCTTAGCAGAGCCAGACGCATAAGTGTCTCCTTTCATTATCAATGTTTGTTTATACTTTGGGTTATTTCTTAGGGAAAATACCTAGAAATTGGATCATTGGCTTAAAGAGAGGGATATTTTGGAGACTGTTACTATATAGATTGTGAAATCGCTTTCCCAGAAAGATGTTACCAGTTTACCCCCTAACCAGTATGAAAATACCTTTCTTGCTGTGCCCTTGCCACATTGAATATAGGTTTTAAAAATTTGCTAATCCAAATTCATTGTGAAATTTTTTTTTTTTTTTTTTTTTTGAGACGGAGTCTCGCTCTGTAGCCCAGGCTGGAGTGCAGTGGCCGGATCTCAGCTCACTGCAAGCTCTGCCTCCCGGGTTCCCGCCATTCTCTGGCCTCAGCCTCCCGAGTAGCTGGGACTACAGGCGCTGCCACCTCGCCCGGCTATTTTTTGTATTTCTTAGTAGAGACGGGATTTCACCGTGTTAGCCAGGATGGTCTCGATCTCCTGACCTCGTGATCCGCCCATCTCGGCCTCCCAAAGTGCTGGGATTACAGGCTTGAGCCACCGCGCCCGGCCGTGAAAATGTTTTTATTGTTCTGTGTGTTACTTTGTTTTGCACCATCTCTTCTGCTTCTGATGAAAGCATGTTTCACTAGAATATATACCATATATGCTAGGGTGTATACATACATATTGACCTTCTCTGAAGAATGAGATAAATGGATGAAGATGTGAAATAGTATCTGTGTATCTATATGACTTAAAAAAAAAAAACAGACACAGGTTTTATTATAAGGAGATACTATTCTAGGTTTAATTACTTTTTTAAAAGTTGGTAAAACCTTTTTAAACTTTTACAAAGTTTAGGTTTCTCTTTCAATGAAAATTGACTAATTTCTAAACAAAGTTCGTTTTTACTTAGTTTTCTTTGTAGCAGCTCCATAATTAGCAGCCTTAGCAGCTTATTTGTTCAAAATGGAATAGCCTGGTACCACTTTTATTACTTTTATTTTAAGCATGAGAGTACTTCTCTATTATAATTGTTTTTAGGCTGAAAGAGCAGGCTAAGGCAGAAGAGTAAGATAAATAAATGTGAGAATCTCCCCTCCTCTGCCCCTCCCCACATCTTCCTGCTTTCATAGTGTACCTAAGATAGAGTTGAGCAAGGAGAATATATAGAATAAATGCAATAAATGTCTTAGATATGACATTAAATTTTATAAATATGTATACACAAACATGTATATAAAAAATTTGGGTGTGTTTCTACTATGGATCTCTGATTACTACATCCCCGTTTCCTTTTATCTAATGCTCATATCAAGGGATTTTTTTTTAATCCAAATGATTTCTTTTTTTCTTTTTTTTTTTTTTTTTGAGACGGAGTCTCGCTCTGTCGCCCGGGCTGGAGTGTAGTGGCTGGATCTCAGCTCACTGCAAGCTCCGCCTCCCGGGTTTATGCCATTCTCCTGCCTCAGCCTCCCGAGTAGCTGGGACTACAGGCGCCCGCCACCTCGCCCGGCTAGTTTTTTGTATTTTTTTAGTAGAGACGGGGTTTCACCGTGTTAGCCAGGATGGTCTCGAACTCCCGACCTCGTGATCCGCCCATCTCGGCCTCCCAAAGTGCTGGGATTACAGGCTTGAGCCACCGCGCCCGGCCGATTTCTTTTTTTCTAGTAGTTGTATCAGTTAGCTTGGGCCCTGCAGTACCAGTGTGGGGTTTAACCAGATGGAGAGTAGCAGTAAACAGCATTCAGTGAAGAGGGTAAAGCATCGAGTGAGACTAGAGTTGAGAAGGACCTTGACCTTTTGAAGAAATGACTGAAGGCCAGATTAGCCATAGAGGAGAAAGACAAGGTTCCAGAAGTCATGGAGGCCTTATTTGCCACGTTGAGTTTTGTCATTATATTAATACCTCAGGCAATTTGGGTCTGTTAAAGGGATGTGATGAGATTTGTATTTTAAGATTAAGAGCTTTCTGACAGCCATATGGAAAATAGCATCCGGGAAGAATGGACATGGAGAACTGTTAGGAAGCTTTTGTAGTGGTCCACGTGTGTTATTGAGGCAAAGCTAGGTAGATTAATTGGGGGTCCATGGTAATCAGGGATCCATGGTAAAAACAGGCTCAAGTTTTTTATATACATGTTTGTGTGTACATAAGTATTTATAAAATATAATAAAATATATCAAAGAAATGCTAGTCAGTTTAAAAGTTGGTGAATTATTTGGAAAAACATAAAATTAAATCCCTAATTTTATTTCCATATCTCATAAAATCTAGGACATCTATAGAAGATAGGTGGCAATTTTAGAGATACTAAATATGAAATTAAAAAATCTTAAACTCGGTAAAATACAAAACACGGAAACATAAATTACAGTTGGATAAAAGAGGTAGAAAAGTAAAACCCCATGTGCAGAGGTAAAATGTAAATGAGGAAAGTAAAATGCTTGATTATTATTTTTTTTTTATTTTTTTTTTTTTTGATACAGAGTCTTGCTCTGTCACCCAGGCTGGAATGCAGTGGATGTGATCTCACCTCACCGAAACCTCCACTCCCTGGCTCAAGTGATTCTCCTACCTTAGCCTCCTGAGTAGCTGGGACCACAAGTACACAGCACCACACCTAGCTAATTAAAAAATTTTTTTTGGCCAGGCGCAGTGGCTCACGCCTGTAATCCCAGCACTTTGGGAGGCCAGAGCAGGTGGATCACGAGGTCAGGAGATCAAGACCAGCCTGGCCAAGATGGTGAAACTCTGTCTCTACCAAAAATACAAAAACCAGCCGGGCATGGTGGCAGGAGCCTATAATCCCAGCTACTCAAGAAGCTGAGGCAGGAGAATCGGTTGAACCCGGGTGGCAGAGGTTGCAGTGAGCTGAGATCACACCACTGCACTCCAGCCTGGGCAATAGAGTGAGACACTGTCTCAAAAGTGAAAAAAAAATTTGAAGGGACAGGGTTTTGCCCTGTTGCACAGGCTGGTCTCCAATTCCTGGGTTCATGCAGTCTGCCCAAAATGCTTGATTTTTAGGTGCTTTTTTTTTCACATTTTAACATCTCTGAAATTTAGATATATCTTAACAAGGGTCTAATATTAGAAATACTTATGAAATTATGTAAAGGAGACAAATAATATACTTAATGCTGAAATAGCTCTTACAAATAAGAAAAATACCTCAAGAAAAGTGTGCAAATCACAAGCAGTTCACAAAAGGAGAAATATACTTGTCTCATGAGCATTTGAAGAAAATGGTTTTTTTCACCAAATATAAACTAAGAATTATTATGAAGTGGCATTTTTCACCTACATAACTGGCAAAGGTTTTTTAAAAAATATGTCTGTTGTTGTGAGGGTGTGATAAGGTATTCATGGCAGATGGGAAGATAAATTGTGATATTTGTTTTAAGGGATTGTCAGATTGGAGAAGTTCAGGTAATCTGACATAGTATTCTGTACTGATAGGACCTTAAAAAGTGTAAGGTAAAGTTTTCAGGAGTTAAACTGGTAGGCAACAATGTACATTTTCCATACAGGATATTTTTCATGGAAGATGGTTGAGAAAGGAAGATTCTTGCCCTTGAAAGTAGATGTACATCTGCCATATATATCTGCTTATGTGTACTGATGTCTTCATAAAATGCTATGCTTCTGAGTTCATGACGAGTCATGACATCACATGATGTTTAAGAGGCAAGCAAAAAAATGCTTAACAGTTTATATTTATACTTTAATTTGTGTTAATTTAAAACTTGTATTTGGAGTCTGTTGTTCAATTACCTACTTTTTTTACATGAAGCTTCTTGAATTTTCTAGGTGATAAAACGGGAACAAGACCAGAGTAAGTTTACAAATTTACCCTTAAGACATTTTAATTGAAGAGTTTAACTTATTAAATTGTAGACAGATGGTATAATTGGAAGTAAATAGAATCATGTACATTTAGGAGAAAAAACTTTTTTAACGATATTTGTTAAAAGTAAAATAATAGACATATGTTCTGGAAAGATAATGAAAGGTCAAATCTTTAGTTTTCAGTCATTAAAAAAATTTAAAACTATTTCTTTCTAGAAAGGTGTTTGGTATTTCCCTAAATAATATAAATAAATACAAATATGTGTGTTTATTTCTTTAGTCTATTAAATATTGAACAACTCATGGAACTTTACCTTTGGAGCATTTAAAAAAGATATGAATTATTGTGCCAGTCCCATTTTATGTCCTGGTGTTTTCAGTGAGGAGAGTAGCCTCCATATACATCATATATATGTTTGAAATTGGTCATTCTTCTTATTACCAATTTTATTTTCTTACATGATTTGTACTGTATTAAATAAAGCATTCATAAATGCATGACAAATTCACTCCTTACAAATATCCTATGTGTGTTTTAGCTTACTATTTAAATGAAGAAGACTAAAACTAAGATCTGTGTAAGGGTTATGAAATCTAACTCATGGTTCCATTGCAGCATGCCAAATTTCACTTGTTCTTGTTCTCATTAAATATTTTTTATTCCTGTAAGCTCTGCCTAGGTCTTACTTTTTCATTCTAATGCATGTTGAAGAACTAATTGAAATGAGAAGTTTTGTAGCTTTCTTTAATGAATACCTTAATATTTTGGAACTGAACAAATTGTCAGAATCTTTAAGCCAGAGGGAACTTAGTTTAACATCTCACCCAATTTGCAGTATTTTCTGATTTTTTTGTTAGACATTTAGTCAAATGCTTTTAAGTATGTTTTTAATAGATGCCAGTCTTCTTAGATAAGAAATCTTCATGTCGGACGAATTGTTAAAATTATTTTATAGATTCTATTTACAAGAAATTTATTGTTTTTTATAAAGAACTTTGAAATCATCCAAAGAAGCTATACGTGCTTTTTTGTTATATTTTCTTGTGTCTTAATACTCTAATACTCTATTAAAACTCAGCTGTCAACTTTTTAAAATCTCAGTGATCTTTATACATGTTTTGCATTTTTCTTAGGGATAGTAAAGCTCTGAAGGATGAAAATCTACCTCCTGTCATCTGCCAGGATGTTGAAAATCTCCAGTAAGTGAAGATAAATAACACTTGAAGAATTCTAGAATATTTCTTAAGGCGAGCATCTCTTCCTCCTCAAATCGCATCCTGGAGGAGCATCTCTTAACTAGGGTTAACATGTTAATGCTTTTAGAAATCAGAAAGAAAGCAGAACAACGGGAATTAAAATTCTATAACTACCCTTCTGTAAAAAAGTGTGAACTGTAGATGAATTTTTAGTTTTGTTTTTTAAAACACTTGGACTGTTTTAAGTATGTATATATTTTTGTAAGAAACCAAAGATATACTTTTAAAAACTCAGTTTTAAATATATACTTTTTAGGAAATTTGTGAAGGAGCAGAAACAAGTTCAAGAAGAAATTAGTAGAATGTCTTCAAAAGCAATGCTTAAGGTACAAGAAGATATTAAAGCTCTGAAGCAGCTCCTGTCATTGGCTGCCAGTGGAATACAGAGAAATACTCTCAACATTGACAAATTGAAAATAGAAACTGCTCAGGTATACCATCTTATGGCCATTTTACCTTACGATTTTTTTGTTTTGTTTTTTCCCAAAATTGAAATAAGGTGTTTTGTTTTTTTGTTTTGTTTGTTTTTAATTATAAAGTTTGATACATACATACTGGTAGGAAACCAGATAGCTCATACACTCTAATAATGAGTTTTTATTAAGCATTTTCTGTATACAAGACAGTATGTATCCTAAGCAATTTATATCTGTTTAAACTGTTAAGTTTTCTGAAAAGGCCCAACAAGGTAGGTATTATTATCCCCATTATATAAATAAGAAAAAAAGCACAGAGCTTTGTTAGTAAATGGAAGCGCCTGGATTCAGACCCTGGCAATCCAACTCCAGAGCTTATGCTGTTAACTAACTAGGTTTCATAAGCGTAGTTGCTGGCTAAATTGGTCTATTATATAAGAGGAAACATAGCTAGTCAGAAAATAATGTTTTTTAACTCTGTAAATTTGAGTGATGACTTGCAAGTCGTGGTTAAATCTTAGTTAATAACAATAGTAGGCCGGGTCTGGTGGCTCACGCTTTATAATCCCTGCACTTTGGGAAGCTGGGGCAGGTGAATCACCTGATGTCAGGAGTTTGAGACCAGCGTGACCAACATGGTGAAATCCCATCTCTACTAAAAATACAGTAATTAGCCAGGCGTGGTGGCGCATGCGTCTAATCCCAGTTATTCCGGAGGCTGAGGCAGGAGAATCGGTTGAACCCAGAAGGCGGAGGTTGCAGTGAGCTGAGATTGCACCATTGCACTCCAGCCTGGGCAACAAGAGCAAAACTCCGTCTCAAAAAAATAAAAATCAATGGTAATGTGGCTAATATTGTCTGTCACTAATGTCTACTTGTTTTTCCTGCCTATGGTGTAATATACAATACATATTTAATATGTAGTTCGTTTCTACCTCAGTGGGAAAGGATGATGATAGGTGATTTATTTTTGTTGTATTTATCATAATTACGGAACGTACTTGATCTCATCATGCAGTCTAGAAATCTTTCCGTAAAGTTGTCACTGATCTGTTAATGAACTTCATGTGAGACACACCTGTTTGCTGTGGATTTATCAGAGGGCTATGAACTTTACAAATGAAATGGTAGTATTTTAAGTAAAATTTTTAAAGGTGCTTTTGGGTCTTTAAGTCCACTATTGGAGAATATCTTGTAATCTTTTTAATAATGATGTGTTACTAAAAGAGCTACTCGAAACTGTAATGGCTAAAGGGATTTCAAAGATGTTAGTGTCTGTTCTCAGATTTCCTGGTCTCTTAACACATTTTCTTGGTTAAACATGAATGTAATACAGGTTGAGCGTCCCTAATCCAAAATCTGAAATGTTGCAAAATCCAAAACTTTCTGAGTGCTAACATGATGCTACAGGTGGAAAATTCCACACCTGAACTCGTGGGATAGGTTACAGTTAAAACTTCGTTTCATGTACAAAATTATTAAAATTGTATACAGTTACTTTCCGGCTATGTGTATAAGAAACACAAATGAATTTTGCGTTTAAATTTGCGTTCTATCCCCAAGGTGCTGTGTGCAGATATTCCAGAATCAGAAAAATTCTGAAATCCAAAACACTTCCGGTCCCAAGCTTTTTGAATATGGGATACTCCACCTGTATTGCCCCATGTTTCCCCTCCACTTACTCTTCCTAATCATCACGTATGTCCTTTCTAGGGAATAGAAAGAGTGAATTATGTTTTTATACTGGAGAATGTTTAGACTGTGATTAAATATCACATGAAATTATGTGAAATATTTGAAATTATATATAAGTTATATGGGAAACATCATTAGAGCAAAATAATGAAGGAGGCAAACTTGAAAGAAAGAAGTGAATGCTATATGGGACCCATTTTAACTCTAAAACTGAATGATTCCATTCACCGTTGTTGGTGGAGTAGCTGTCATATAGTGGGCATGTTAATAGTCTTTTAGAGATAAAAAGACAACTCCAAAGGTACTAAAAGTCTAGGAGGATGAATGAAATAATAAAAGATTGAGAAGAACTTAAAGGTGGCAAAGGAATAAGAGGTTGGGATTCAAAGTTTCCTTAAGGAAGAATCATCTGAGCTGAATTTCAGGAATTTTATAGTTAGTGCATATTGGGCTTAACACCTAGGTGATGAGCTGATAGGTGCAGCAAACCGCGTGGCACATGTTTACCTATGTAACAAACCTGCACATCCTGCACATCTGCCCTGGAACTTAATAAATTTAAAAAAACAAATTTTTATTTCCTGCTCACCAGGTCAAAGGGGAAGAAGAAAAAGAGAAAAAAAATATTTTTAAAGAAATTTGATCTAAGATTATTCCAATTTCTAGTAGACAGGAACTAATAATCTACTAAGAGTCTAATGAATTACCAATTGAAAAAAATGTTCTGAATCCTCTATAAAGTATCAATCTTATTTAACCCTAAAATGTTTTCTTCAAAGAAAGCCTTTCTGGGAAATATAAGTTCTGCAGTTAGAAGTGATGTAGACCAGATTCTTATGGAAGACAAAGTCTTTTATATACTTCATTTTTAGTAAGTAACTTGAGTTTAAATTAAAATAGGATAGTTAGTTCTTCTTTTGGGGTGAGTCGGGGCTACATGGTTTATTGAAGTTAAATTGCTGAGTTCAGCTCTCCAGTCATTCAACTAACATTTTTAAAAGATCTGTTGTGTGCCAGGCGCTTCAGCAGGCATTAGGGATCAAGACTTAGATTACGGAGGGAGTTAAATCCATCAAGTGATATGACCCAGGTACAAGGGTTTTGTAGGGGCACAGAGGCCTCAAGTGGGCACTTTTATCATCTGTCCAGTGTAGAATACCTTTACGTTGAGTCTTGAAAAAGAGGCAAGTATCGTGAATGAGGGTATGGGCATGTCTGATGATCTGCAAGCAGTTTAGTGTTAAAGAGTCCGGGCCTGGCTAGAGTCAGTGCTTAGAGTGGTAGCAAGGGTCAGTCTTGAATCATCTACACGTGTATTTGTATTGGAGCGGAGTGGGATGGAGCCTGAGTTGAGTGAAAAGGATGTCAAAAAAACAGTCATCAACTTAGCAGGTTGGCAGTTTAGTGAGGGAGAGATGTTGCTACAGGGAATATAAAGGTAAAGTAACTCTTTGTGAAATAAAGAATGCTTAAATAGAGTTCGAAAATACAGTGAAATTGATAGGAATGTGGAATGAAAGGGGGTAAACAGAATACTTATCTTGAAAAAACATTGGCTGGAATGGTAGAATACAATATAAGAATGGTTGAGTGTGTAAGCTTTAAAAGATCCCGTTCTCCAGTCTTCTAGCAACATGGTATTGGGCAAGTTACTTAATGGCTTTGTAAATCCATTTCTTCATCTGTAAAAAGAGAAACATTGCCTGCATTGTAGTGTTGTCCTTGAGAAGTAACCTTTAGCATAGTGTTTGGTACGTAGCAAGCACCCAAATGTTAATTGTGCCTGACTCAGCCTCAACATTATTGTTGCTACCTGCCTTTAAAAAAAGCATTTTCTGCATTTATATTAAAGATTTTAAGTGGTAATATAATCTTTACACTGTCTGTGAATTCACTTCATGAATCCTACAGAAATCATAGTTTTAAAAATAGATCTACAGCTCTTTATAATTTTATCATAAAGTTTGTTAAACAAACAGAAATTTATCTGCTCTTGAAAGGTTTTAGCAACTTGTGAAGCAGCTTCATCCATAATATGTTCTTATAGCGTGAACCTCCAAGGTATTATTTGAAGTTTCAGTCCAGAGACTGAATATTTTTTTTAGTGTGGTATTTTTAACCTAACTCTTAACTGGCTTTTTTTTTTTTGAAACCCTCTGGTATATTAGGAGTTAAAGAACGCTGAAATCGCTTTAAGAACCCAGAAGACACCACCTGGACTTCAACATGAATATGCAGCTCCTGCTGAGTAAGTGGCTGGATTTTTAAAAACAAATGTTTCTCACTTTCAGAAAGCAGAACAGTAATAATAGTATACAAACTAAATATTTTTAGTATGCTATGTGGAAAGGCTGAGCTAATAAGCACTTTACATGGATTTTAAATTTCATAATAACCCTAAAAAGGTTTATCTCCATTAACACCATTTTACTGCAGGGTAAGTGAAGGCTAAGATCTGAGCTTTTCACCACTATTATGCATTTATACTTCATGTACATACTACTTACAGAGTCTACTCCATTTTATTAAATTTTGCTGGTAATGGAAAATTACGATTATTCATTTACATAGGTAATACATGTTCTGGAAGAAAAAGTAGAAAATATAGATAAGTAGAAGAAAAAAACCAACCTGCAATCACATCACTCAGCTTGTATATACATTTGGTTTCCATACATGTAAAATACATCTTGTCTCTTTATGTCCTTCCATGTTGATGAAGATAATAATAACTAATGTTTACCAAATGCTTACTATTTGCCATGCAGTGTGCTTAGGACTCTACATGCTTTACCTTCATATTTCATAACACCTCTGTAGCTGTTGTTATTCCAGTTTTAGCGATAAAGAGACTGAGGTATGCAAAAGTGAGTTGAGTGGTGGAGATCTGTTTGATTCCTGATCCCTCACCATTAATTAATTAATTAACTTGTAGAGATGCCATTTCACAGTGTTGCCTAGGCTGGTCCTAGGCTAAAGTGATTCTCCTGCCTCAGACTCCTAAAGTGCTGGGATTACAGATGTGAGCCACCACGCCTGGCCCCTTACTTATTTTATTCTTTTAGTTTTTTATTATAATTTTGGTCTTACAGATAAGTTTCAAGATGAGAACTAAAAATTCCTGTATGTCTTTCATTCCAATTTCCTACATATTAACATTCTTACCATATTTTTGTTCCTCACACTCTAAATGTATATATACATTTCTCCCCCAGTTTGGGTTATTTGCAGAAATAATGTTCACTATACTAAAGTACTTCAGTGGATATTTCTTAAAAATAAGGATATTCTCATACTTAACAATTCTCAAAATCAGGAAATTCATAATGACCATGATATTCCTCTTACTCAGATTGGCATGGGATGTGCTTCCTCACTGGACTTCCTCTACTGTTTTATCCCTCTGTCTTGTTCTTAATACTGCCATCAGAGCTAATTTTGCAAAATGCTTTCATGGTTGCCCATTTTTTACTAAAAAACATTCAGATTCCTTTGTATACTACTCAAGATACTTTTTTTTTTTAAATCTACCTAGCACTCTCTGTGAGTAAATTTATTAGAAAAGTAGCAATAATTACATGTGCTTTCTGTAGTATACTACAGTGTTCTCAGATTATAAATTTCATTGATAAAATAACTGTAAATTCTTAATTCTGCAGTCTGGTTGGTAGACGTTTCTACTTTATTGTAAATTTATTTTAACCTTACAGAAAACTTCCAAAATAGTAGTAGAGAGAATTTATTTGTATCACTTCCCCTGCTTCTCCTAATGTTAACATATAACTATAGTATAATTACCAAGAACAGGAAACTAAAATTGTACAATATTATTAACTAAACTACTAAACTTACTTAAATTCAGCCAGTTTTTCCACTAATGTACTTCTGTTTCAGCATCCTATTTGGGATTCACAGTGCATTTGTAATTTCTCCGTAATCTCTTCCAATCACAGTTATTCAGTTCTTCCTTTCCTTGGATAACCTTGATACTTTTGAAGACTGTTACATTATTGCAGAATATTCCTTAATTTGGATTTGTCACTCCGAATTAAGAAAACATTTCATCTGACTTTTTAAATGTTTTTTAAAGCTACTTCAGAATCTTGGTTCAGCAATTTGAGGTACAACTTCAGCAGTACAGGCAGCAGATTGAAGAACTAGAAAACCATCTTGCCACTCAAGCAAATAATTCACATATAACCCCTCAAGGTAACATGCTTACTGTGGTCATTTTTTTTGAACTTTTGTTTATAGGAGATAGATGTGGTTATATAATAGGTATTCTGGATAACTACTGGTAGCCCCTTTAAGAAAATTCCCTTAGAAGTCATTTACTACTACTTTATTCCCTATAAATGTAATATGCTTTATTATATGAATTGCTACTGTGGTAACAAGGGCAGAAATCTTAGGGCATTCCCCCCAGATTACTGTTGTAGACATTCTTCTCCCAGTCTACTACTTTGTATGTTCTCTAGACATGAGAACATTGATAGAGTTTTTTTCTCTTACATGTTAACTATGCCAAAAATTGGACTCAAATAGAAAAGTAAAATGGATTGTGCTCTCTCTCTCTCTATATATATATATTTGGGTGATAATGTAATTTTCTTTTATAGATTTGTCAATGGCTATGCAGAAAATTTATCAAACATTTGTAGCTTTAGCGGCACAACTTCAGTCTATTCATGAAAACGTAAAGGTAAGTTTTCATTGCCCATTTATCTACCTGCATATCTAGACCCAAGTGTTTGTTCATCTGGGGACAAATGTATCCATTCTTAGTACAGAAATAGCTAAAATTACATATAAGTGAAAAGATGAAAACTACTCTAATCCATAACATACCTAGACATAATGATTGATAGTATATGTTCTTTTAAAAAAGATCCAAGCACCCTGTACAGTCTGTGATTACAGCTTTTTTTTAAGCAGTGTATTGTGAATAACTTTCTATGTTAATACACGTATTTCCTGAATATCATTTTTAATAGTTAACGTAGGAGTTTGTTGTGTGTTTGTACATACATTGTTTAACCCGTTTTCTATTGGATATTTAGGTGGTTTCTATTTCTTTACCACTATAAATAGCACTATAGAAAATAAACATTCTTAGCCAGGCGTGGTGGCTCACACCTGTAATCCCAGCACTTTGGGAGGTCGAGGCAGGCAAATCACAAGGTTAGGAGTTCGAGACCAGCCTGGCCAATATGGTAAAACTCTGTCTCTACTAAAAATACAAAAATTAGCCAGGCGTGGTGGTAGGCACCTGTAGTCCCAGCTACCTGGGAGACTGAGGCAGGAGAATTGCTTGAACCCAGGAGGTGGAGGTTGCAGTGAGCTGAGATCACACCACTGTACTCCAGCCTGGGCAACAGAGCGAGACTCCGTCTCAAAAAAAAAAAAAAAAAAAAAAGAATATTCTTAGTAGCAAAATGATTTTATACTACCTTAATTTTATGTGTGTTTTAAGTGTTTATTGGCCACTGCATTAAAACCCTGCCTACAACATTTCTCCCTTCTAAATGCAGGGAACTGTTTGTGTTTATTAAATAATGTAAATAAAATGATTTATCACTGAATATTTAGAATGACTCTTGCTTTTTTTTTTTTTTTTTTTTGTATTTTTAGTAGAGACAGGGTTTTGCCATGTTGCAAAGGCTGGTCTCGAACTACTAAGTTCAGGCAGTCCTCCTTCAGCCTCCTAAAGTGCTAGGATTACAGGCATGAGCCACTGTACCCAGCCTGAATATTTTGACTCTCAAATAATAACGTTAGTTTTGAAAATGTATTTAAGTGAAATATTAAATGTAAGTACATCTTTTCTAACTAACTGAGCAAATGTAATTAAACTCTTTAATCTTAGAGTACATGTGGTCCAAAAAAACCTTTAAAATTCAGGCGGCCAAACCTGAGTCTAGATATTATCAACTGTGTAGAATAGAGTTTAATTGGAATTATCAACATTTTCATTTTTATTTTGATCTCATGCATAGTAACAGAATTTTTTTTAAGTTAACCATTTAAATTACACTGTTTTTGAAATGGTAGCGCACTTTAGACCTTTTGCGTTAGTAGATTTTAAACTGTAACCCAAATCTTTAAATTTTGTTCTAAAGGAGGAATTTTACCAGATTTTTAAAAAATTTTATTAGTCTATAATAAATGTTACTTTAATTTTTTAGTAAAATTAATGTATGGCACTTAGAAGTCCATTGTGCAGAATTTTTTTCCTTAATTTTTATTACGAAATCTTTCAAATGTACACAAAAGGAGGCTATCATGATAATGAATGCCCAGGTATGACTACGTAACTGCAGCCATTATCAGAACCTTGCCGAACTTGTTCCACAGGAAATGCTTTTTTACCCCTCGAAGTATTTTAGAGCAAATGCCAGGTGTAAATATACTTTATTTATTTATTTTTTTTAACAGCACTTTCTCCTCTCTGGTTTGGAAAATATATCATTTTTGGTAATATGACCATAAAACAGTGAGACGAAGACCACATAAAACTGCCCTAGATCATGTTAAATAAATGTAGACGTGAAATTTTGACCTACTCTTTAAGCAACCCAAGAACAAAAGGATATTCCCAAGAACCAAATAATATTTTATGATCAGATTTGGTATGTTGCCATTATTTTTAGCTTAGTTTAGTGAGCAAACTAAGCTCTAGGCTTCTTTATTTCTTATAGAAATCTCACAAGACATTTTTTTGTTCATTTTGTTTTTCATTAGGAAATCTGTTGAAACAGGCATTAACTATCTTATCCAGCCAGGCCTTAGGAACATTAACACATTTGGACGTTTTAGCAATTTGTTTTATAAATCATGGCTGCTGTCAAGGTTTTTGTTTGTTTGTTTGTTTTATTATTTTCTTTTGTTTTGTTGAGACAGGGGCTTGCTTTGTTGTCCATGCTAGAGAGCAGTGGCATAATCATGACTCGCTGCAGTCTCAATCTCCTGGGCCCAAGCGATCCTCCAGCCTCAGCTTCAGCCTCTTGAGTAGCTAGGACTATAGGCACGCACCACTACACCTAGCTAATTTGTTAACTTTTTGTAGAGAGGGGGACTTTTGGTGTTGCCCAGGCTGATCTTAACTCCTGGCCTCAAGGAGTCCTCCTGCCTAGACCTCCCAAAGGGCTGGGATTATAGGTGGGAGCCACCGCGGCCAGCCTGTTTCTTTCAACTAATGGTCTTAAGTATCTAAAGTGGATCATTATTTTCCATTATCTGAAGTAGAACTAAAATTTATGGGATACTGATGCTTGCTCAGGAAAAGGAAGGGTAGATTTGCAAGAGATCGGTAAGGCTTGTTTTTCTTACATCATATGTCTTGATTCTGGCTTTATATCTTCTCCAATATCCAGTTCTTGGCAGGCCCCCCTTTTTAATACATCATAAATGTAGCAAAGTTTGGAACATCAAACACTGACAGCCACACAAAAAGGGCGATGATAGCTTTTAAATACTGTAAACAACAGTAAGATTTTTAAGTGCTGTACTGGTTATAATCAGAACCTAATGTTTATTAATTTCTGCTAAGAAATGTAAGAAATATGAAAAATCTGTGTCTCTTCAAAAAGTGTTAAAAACCTATCTAAATTAGGCTAAATCTTCAATGAAAGCATAAAATAATTCTAAAGTGAAACAGAATTGTTGCTTGTTAATGGCTTTAATCAAGGCAGATGCTGCATTGGGTAAAAGCAGCTCACTTTATGAACTTGGAAATTTTTCTTTCTTTGGAGTTATAAACTCATTTTTTTTTCTTTGAGGTGGGTGGTTGGGTTCATAACTTTAACATGGATCAAGTCTCATTGTTCATTGGTCAAATAATAGCAATAAAGTAGAAGCCCTCGTGATACCCTCCAAGCATTCTGCTGAGGTGCAACATCTTATTTTAGCATGTGTTACCCAGGCCTTCTAAAAAATGTATTTAAAAATATATATATTTAGTGCTGACTTTTTTTTCTTTTTTTAACTGTTTTAATCAAAAGGCTATGAAAAGGTTGGACATTTGAGGGGAAAGTTTCTTGAGAAACTGGAATATTTATTTTTAAAGTCTTTTCATCCATCTTCACATTGATGGAGTGTGTATTTAGATACTACTCTGTCTAAAAGCATAGCTGATTTCTTTCTTTTTTTTTTTTTTTTTTTTTGAGGCGGAGTCTTCACTCTGTCGCCCAGGCTGGAGTGCAGTGGCACCATCTCTGCTCACTGCAAGCTCCGCCTCCCAGGTTCGCGCCATTCTCCTGCCTCAGCCTCCCGAGTAGCTGGGACTGCAGGCGCCCGCCACCACGCCGGCTAATTTTTTGTATTTTAGTAGAGACGGGGTTTCACTGTGTTAGCCAGGATGGTCTCGATCTCCTGACCTCATGATCCGCCCGCCTCGGCCTCCCAAAGTGCAGGGATTACAGGCGTGAGCCACCGCGCCCGGCCAGCTGATTTATTTCAAACAAGGCCTCACAAAGACAGTATTTTAGGAAGCATATTGTAAAGATAGGGAGTAAACTATTCAAGGGAGCAGTAGAACTCTTGAACTCATCACTTCCTACATGAAAGTGTATTATTAGCACTCTATTTGCAGTTCAGATTGAATGTATAATATTGGCAATGTCTTTGGTAACTCATGGTTATATTCATCCATGTATTACCATAGTCAATGTGGAACTTCATTTAGCCTTTTTGTTTATTTTTTATTCTTTAGGTTCTGAAAGAACAGTACCTTGGCTACAGGAAAATGTTCTTGGGAGATGCTGTTGATGTGTTTGAAACAAGGCGAGCCGAAGCCAAGAAGTGGCAGAACACACCCAGAGTTACTACTGGACCCACCCCTTTCAGCACCATGCCAAACGCAGCAGCCGTTGCCATGGCTGCAACACTTACACAGCAGCAACAGCCTGCTACAGGTCTGAACGCATTCAAGTTATAGCTTCTTACTGTTCCAATGCAGAACATTTATGTGCGTTTTTATAAGTCTTCCATTTGTGTGAGCACTGAAGAAATTTATATGAGTAGCTGTTCCAATACAATCTAAAATTGTGATGGACACAATTATAAACATACCTGATAAAAAAGGCAGGGTAGTCTTAGCAATAATTATACATCAATTAGATACTGAATATTGTGAATTTACTTAATGTTATTTGCTGTATTGCTATAAATGCCCTTTAGAATATGGTGTTTCACTAGTGAATTACATTTAAGAATAACATTAGATTCTGAAATCATGACTGTACCATTTATTGTTTTAAAGTCAGAGATCATCCATTCTTACATTGAATTTTTCATATATGATACTGATAGATGGTGCATTCTCATTTTCCTCATACATAGCGATTACCCACATTCAGGATGACGTATGCTTTTATTGACTGAAGTTATGTTGAAGATCAGTAGGCTTGTTTGTATGTATGTTGACTGTAAACAGAATACAGGCCCTCTAAACCAACTTTTGAAGAAGATACATGCTAGAATTGTACCTTTTCAAGGTGAACAGAACAGCAAGAGCCGGAAAAAGATGTTTTGAGATGTGGATTGCACATTAAGCACAGGAGAAAGATGTTTTGAGATGTAGATTACACATTAAGGAGCAACTGAGAAGTTGAACAGATGAAAATAATCGGTGACATGGAAAGCAGATTGTTTTATTCCTTGGTTTAGTTACACTTCTAATTAGAGAAACATTTTTGTGGTCATTCTACAGTGCTTTATTTGGTCCTGTGTCTATCGGAGGTTAATAATTATCTTAATCCTGCCATCCCTTTTGTCAAGTTTGAAGCTTGAGGTGGAAAAATAGTCTTAATTGATACAGATTTTTTTGCTTTAATCATCATAAACTTCTTAGTAATGCTTATTACTCAATAGTATGTGTCTTTCTGAGAGTTCCATATAGTCCAATAGTACATTATAATACAAAAAAAATTAATACATATTTAGATTGCATTCAGGCTACCTATACTAGGGAAGCATTCTCTGGTTTTCACTATTGGCAGTTTAAAACATTGTTCTTCACATTTGGAGTTGACAGAATTGACTTGCCATAAGTAAAGGGTTGATGATAGATTTATGTCAAATCCTCCATATTCCGTGGCTGGACCCGTGTGAGTAGTGGCTCGCATGAGCACTGTCTGGTAGCTCTCTAACTGAGTGGAGTGTAGCATTGCATTCTCAAGTTACGGAGGGAAAAAGTCATTATGGGATTAATTCCTTTGAGGATTGATACTTCCTAAAAGGAATCAATCCCATAATTATGACCATCAGCTCTCATTATTACTTAACCAGTTAATAGTTTACTTTTTAGAGCCAGTATTAATCCTAAAGTAGATAAGTGTAGGTTTGGTTAAGTGCTCTTTAAACATAGTGAATTTCCATTCTATTAAATAAAACTTGAGAAATGTCAGTTATATAAAAAGTTATGTTGTAAGTGAATATATTCTATGATAAATACCTAAACTTGAAGCAAGACCTCCTGTCAAGGGTTTGTGTGTGTGTGTGTGTGTGTTTAACTTTCTTATCTAGACAGTGTTATTTTGAGAAATTCATAGGTTTTCACTCATACATTTTGAGCTCGTGGACATATGGAGATGTGTGTTCATTCTCTAAATGAGTGCCTACTATGTGCTGGGCTCGGGAAATGCAAAGGTAGACAATATAGATTTGGTCTTTGTCCTCTGTGGTGGTTGAGAATATCAGCCTAATTTGGTGTATTCTTGAGCCTTTTGCTCATAGGCTTTAATTTTGCCTGTGTCATTTGCCAGGCTTTGGGGAAATTGACTGCCTTCACTCTTCCCTGAAATTTTGAAGTCCACGTAAGGGCTTTCTAATCAGATAGCAGAAATTATAATTTATTAACCTAAACAACCTTACAGTGTTTTCGCTTTGAATTGTATGAATTCTTAGAACTGAGAAGCTAAACAATAGTGATAACAATTTTACATTATCTTTTCTTTCTCCTTTTGTTTCTCTAAAGGTCTCCCAGGCCTTCCCAGTCAAAATTTTAGTTATTTTAGTCATGTCACCATGATGTGAGATTCATGAGCTCTGTTAGATACATTTAGAAACGTCCCTATTTATTGAATGGTGTTTTGTACCCCGTAAGTTATCCCTTATGCTCTGTGACTTCTGTGAAATCTTTTAAGTGCCAGTAACAAATTTTAGACCATCTAGATGAAGGTAGAGAGAGCTTACACATTGTTTTTATACGTCACTGTTTATCTATACAAGATTTGAGTTATCAGAGGGATTTTGCTTTTATTTGCATATGAAATTTTTATTAACATGAATATGGGCACAGAGCAAATAGCTTCTTAGACTGCTGCCTTCTGAAGGTGGCTTCTGTATCTTTCTCAGAGGAGGAGTAATAGACTTAAATGACTTCTTTGTCTTTCTTCAGTTTTTTTTAAATGAAAAAATCTATATACTAGGGCTTAGGCACGTGTGATTTACAGTTATTTGTTCTGAAGGCTGCAGAGAATTAAAAATCCAGCAGGCTATTTGTGTACGAAATCATGAGCATCATTACGTGGATAACGTAGTTTCATGTTGGCAGAACTTGACACTTGTAGTGCTTCCCAAGCCTCCTGAAAAACTGAAGACATTTACATTAGGCTTTTCAGTATAATTTTAATTTAGGATAGGTTTTTTAGCAATGAACTGGGATTGAGTTTTGCTGTTGTGTTTTGACACTTTTAAGAGTTCTTGATGTTTACATAATAAGACTTTTCTTATGTGACTTAGCTGCTGTTTTAAGGAGAGCCAAGACGTTTTGTTAGGAATTCCTACTTTTTAGCTTAGTGTAGGTTTGGACATTTAAGGTGTAGTGTTAAATAGGAAACGTTAAGTATTTCATCTTAGTTTCTTGTGGTTTTGTGATTTTGTTGTATTTAATAACCAAAGGAACATTCCCCATTGAATCAGTAAGAGTAAAACTTTTCAAACTGGGGAAAAGGCATTTTAGGTTTTTTAAAGAAAAATTATTTAAAAATGTGACTTAGAAATAACCATACTAATTACATTAGGCATTTTGGGTGATCATGGAAAATTATAAAATATTTTTAGCACTTTAGTCCTTTTTCTGTTAATGCAGTTTTACTTTTAAGAAAGTAGAATTTACTCTGGAAAATATGAATTACAGTGCTAAACCTGGTTTTGTTGTGTGTGAATATATTATATGGTAACTTTTGTAAAATGTTACTCTACATGAAGATTTCACTTTGGCCAGTCATTGATATATATCACTACTAACTTAATTTTATTTATGGAAATAAGAACCTCTCATTGAATGACAGTTCAGATTTCAAAGCAGACTTCTTGAATTGTTTACGTAACTTTTGCCTGAAGGATTTAGACTCTGCTTTCTAATAGTGAAACTAATACATATGGTGGCCAGAGTGTAATATATGCTAGTACTTTGGCATGGGAGATATTTATCATGAGTTTTTACTATTAAAAAATGTTATACATTTGCCTACGAGTTTTTTAAATGATGTTGCCTTCAGAATTTGTGTGAAGGTACAAAACTAAAAATGTCATGTATCTGATGTGCAATGAAAAGTCTTGTCATCATTAGATAGTTCTTGATTATCTATATTATGAATATTGATGATTAGAAAAATCTTATGTTCTGTTGCTCTTAACAATAGACCCACACACAACAAAAAGCATGCTATTTGAGTAACTCTTATGACTTACAAGGCTGAGGGCTGTGGTGTGCATTATTCTTTAGGGTCTTCCACCAGCAGTGCCTCCTCTTAACCTGTGACACACAAGTCTCTCAATGTTAAACTGGACATGTGTTTTTTTATGTTTTTTGTTAGGAATCAGAAAGTATAATAATATGCTTGGTTTCTTTTTCCTATAGTAACATTTTACAAAAGAGCTGCTAGGCAGGTATTTTATTCTCAAATTGATCTCAAACTGGATGTAAAATGTTAAATTATTTTTTTAATAGTAGTGTAAGAATTCTGGCTGCTATTAGTTATTGTTTATTTTCTGGGTAGAAGCTATTTGAAAAGTCCAGTTTCTGTCCCAGTGTAGCAAAATGTAGTTCCTCGGTTGTTTTTCTTTAAATGCTTTATAATTTTACACTACCTTTTTAATATACAAACCTCATTCTTCATTGGACAACTTGAAGGCTTTGATTTCTTTAAAAATTTAAATTTTAATGTGTGTATTACTTTGACAGTTCCCTCAACTTTGAGATGCACTGATCACTGTGCTTGAAAAAGACAAAACTGAAGATTGTACTATGAAGTTTATTGAATAATTTTCATAAATTATTTATCCAAATGAGAGATTTTTAGATTTTTGTATTCTGCTTAGTTTAAAAAAAAAATAGTAGTTTAAAAGAGAGGCTAGTAAGTTTGATGCTATTCTTGCCAAACAAACTCAGCCAAAATCTTTAAAGTAACAAGTGGGAAAAGGATGACTAATCGTTCTGCTTCTGAGTACATTTTCCAAAACGTTGGAAAGAAACTTCTGAATTGAAATCTTGAATGTATTGAATCTGTCAAGGTACACAGCGGTGCCTTTGTAAATGTTCATTACCTTATTTAATCAGGTGATAAGTGGTGTAATGTAGCAGAGCTTAAGAATAGAACTCAATTATCACTTTTTGTGAACAAGTTGGAATTGTCATGTTACTGTGTAATTGATTTGCTTTACAATGAACAATAAATTTAATAAAATAAAACATTGTCTTGTTTTTTATCTACTTATTGTATATATCATTTATATTTCATATGAGAAATCATGCCTAGTTTTTGGGTACTTACTCTTATGAAATAACATGATAGTTTTGCCATGTTAGTGTCAGTCTCTCTTCATCAGTTGAGACTTGACTCTAACACTAAGGAACTTGATTAAAAAAAATTAAAAACCGCTTACTGATTATACCAACTAGTTTTATCAGAAACAAGTGAGGAGATCTAAAATAATTCTAGAAGTAAATCTCAAGGAACTATAATTTATGATACATTAAAGATTTCAAATTATTTAGTAGGTTAAACTAACACGCATCTTTCATTGCGGTAAGCCTCTTTTAATTGTCTAGTTCTGAACAGGTTAATTTTTTTAATCTTTTTTTAATTTTTAGATATATCAATTGGATAGTTAGGCTGGAGAGACATCCTGAAAACTAAGTTTTAACAAATGGAATCAGTTAAAAGTAATCACTGTTGATTTTAGAAATAATTTCATAAAGAATCTTTAATCTTGAAAGAGTAAGGCAAATTTGTTTTTTTTTCCCCCCCATTTTTTTTTTTTTTTATACCAGGGCCACAGCCATCTCTGGGAGTTAGTTTTGGAACGCCATTCGGCTCAGGCATTGGCACTGGCTTGCAATCAAGTGGCTTAGGTTCTTCAAACCTTGGAGGTACACTTTAACTTTTCTCATATTTCATTGAACTATTATATATTTGAATTGATACTAGCCTGTAAAAAAAAATTTCTAAGAGGATCTGCTGCTGTTTTGGAAGTTAAGGTTCCATCTGGCAAAAACGATTCTCAAACATAATTACTGCTTTCTAATATTAGATTTAGTATCATTCCATCTTCTGTGAATAGTAAATATAAAGTATTAAAATTAAGAGGTAGGCATGTTCATGTTTTCAGAGCAATATGCTGACACATGAACTTGAGAATTCTTTAGTTTTAATCATCTTAATTAAAAATCTTAAAATTAATAGTCTTAATGTTAGTTTGGAGTCTGAACTACTTCTGGATGATATACATTCTCCTAATCAGTATCTTCTTTTTTCTGAAAATGAATACTTAGGGAAATTATTATGAATTGAACAGCTAAACTCATGTCCATTTCTAAGCACATTTGGCAAATTTGCCTATATACATACTTGTTTACATAAGCAATTAAGCTTATTTTAATAATACTTTCATAAGTTTAGTAAGGTAAGTCCTCTGCAAAAACATCATGCTAAATACAAATACATTCACAATTCTTTGATATGGATAACTGAAAGTTGGTTGTATTTTCACAGGTACATTATAATGTAATGAATAAGTTGCCCTTATTTCCACTAAAATATAAGACAGGAGACCTATAAGCTTCTATGGTTGTTTAATATAGACTGTTCTAAATTAGGAATTATTAGAATCATGGCAGATAGCATAATTCCTATAATCTAGAATTAATTTGCCATCACATTTCTTATTGTTAGAGGCAATGATGCTGTCACACTCAGTATTTTAGCTAAGCTATTGCAAAGTAACCGCAAAAGCATTTGAACTTTATTTGTAGAGCACCTGGCTCTTAGGAGAGTGGAAACTAGTCTTCACGTACTGAGAATGTCATGACCTTTGTGTGATGAAAAATCCTTCCTTTTTTAAATGATTAAGATAGTATTGTTAAGAGAAAAACCATGATCTTCTTTCTCACCACCAATTTTTCACTGTTACACTGGCTGGTAGTATGGCAGGAATCTGCTGTTAAACTGAGTAGATTTAAAGTGTTTGACTATAGTTAAGCAGTTTTTCAGTGGTACAGATTCTTAATTAACTAAAATTGGGAAAGAGCAGAGTAAAATAACCTTGTAGTATTTAGTGTGTACATTGTTGTGCATGTCATGCTTATTAATGTATTTAGTCCTTTATTTGTGAAATGAAATACCCCTAAAGTGGAAATGTTTATAACTGACTAAAATCATACTTGAATGGTGGGTAAAATTTTCTAGCACATTTAAAAGAGAAAATCCTAATACTTTCTTTTTTATGGCCTTGTTCTTTAAAAATTGGGTCACAAACATAGTCTAAATAGATGTAAACGTTTTATTTCAATTAGTCTGGTTCTTCTGAAAGTCTCATGCAAAGGAGTAAGCAGATTTCCTTAATAAGGCCATGTTTTTCAACACTGTATCTATTAGACCTCTGATGATTTTCGGTTGTACTTGTCCGTATCCTTTAACCTGTGTTTTATGTGCCATTGTATATTTTTCTATTACCCTTCCACTAGGATTTGGAACTAGCTCTGGTTTTGGATGCAGCACCACAGGGGCCTCCACATTTGGATTTGGAACAACAAATAAACCCTCAGGAAGTCTTAGTGCAGGTTTGTGTGTTTCTGCCTGGATTTCAGGCAAATTTAAAGGTGTAAATTATTTAATTTAAAAGTATGTGTTGTTATTTCCAGTAACCCAAAAAGTTCCCTCCCTGATTCAGTTTTTACCCCCTGGATGAAGTATGTAAGCCTAACTAATCATTTTACTTTATCTCTCTCATAAACTAAAGGGCAGGTTTGTAAAATATTTCTAACAAGACTTCTTAGTTTGATTTAATAATTAATTATATCTTCTAATTAAGTAGAGATTCATTTGAACCCTAGTGACTAACTTCGTGGTTAAGTCATTTTCTTCATTATTGCAAAAAGGAACCCATCATTGTGAAAGTTTAACCAAGTTTCTTGTCATAATTCATCCTGGAGAATGATTTCTATTCCAGAGTCCCTCTGGTTTTGAGAATACCAAATCTTTATTATTAATTTAGTTCCTTGTTCATTTTTGAAATAGGTATAATTTTTTTGACTCTTCTTATGAGAAATTCCAAATTTCATCTACTTTTGCATTTATATTGGTAAATATGGCTTGTTTTAATGTGCAGTGCTTAGGGACAAATACCATATCTAATATAATGACATAATACTGTGAAAGATGTGTTTAAATTTAGAGAATTTAAAGGAAGTTCCACTTAATATAAGTAGTGTTTAAAAATCAGCAGTTCCAGTGGAGGAAGATAATAGTAGGATTCCATGTTATCAGGATTATAATCAAAATATTGTATTAGTTAACTAGGCAGTAGTACTACTAGATCTTAATTTTGCAAAAGCTCTTATAAAATCAAAACAGTGAGTACTGCTTTTTTGTTGTTCATTGTCTTGAATATTGTGGGTTGACGCTTTCCTGGAGTGCATGGGATAGCAAGGGTAGGTCCAGATATGTGAATGTCCCTCTTCTACATGTGGATAAAATGTTGTTGGGGCTAAGGAGGAAGGCACCTTGACATATTTAATTAACAGGAAAGTTTCTGGCAATTTGAAGTTTGTATAGATTTTAGTTATTTGTGCTAAGGTTTCTCTTTTGGCCTGCATCACTAAACTCTCTTTCAAGGTGCCACTTAGTTGTTAGCTAAATTTTCCTGTTAAAATTTCATGTGAGAAATTTAGGGCTTTAAGATACTTGCATTTCTTACAGATTATGTATTCTTTTAGATAGAAATTTACTGCTCCTCCCTGTTTTTATATTTGATTTTGGAATTCAACTTCTGATATGAATATTTTTTTCCCTAAACATAAGGCTTTGGCAGCTCAAGTACATCTGGGTTTAACTTCAGCAATCCTGGCATCACGGCATCAGCTGGTTTGACTTTTGGGGTGTCCAATCCTGCCTCTGCAGGTTTTGGAACAGGAGGACAACTCCTTCAGTTGAAGAAACCTCCAGCTGGAAACAAAAGAGGAAAAAGATAAACATGGGTTGATGTGTTGAGAGAATCCATAACAGCACCGTTCATTCTATGAGTCTATTTTTCTAATGATGCAGTAATTAAATTGCATCCCAGGAGATTTATAAAATTTTGATATTTTTCCCTACTCTGGAATTTGAACTTTCTTCATGTTTGCCATACTGAACATCTTTTTTCTTGTGAATTTAAAGTCCAGTTGTGTTTCCTTTTTAGTTTGATTCTCAGTGTAAGAAATGTTCTCATTACATCAGTGATTGATAATGGTTAGAAACCATTAACCTAATACTATTTAACCTAGTGTTTTTGTTGATGAGGTTTACATTATGTGAATACATGCACATTTGTTTCTTATACAGATGGTGTGAACTCTAGGGCCTATACTAGAATCAATTTGTTCCTTGATAAAGGCCTTTTGAATTACACTGCAGGGCATCTTGTGAATATGTATGTAAATATTTACAGAATAATACACACAGTTGTGTGTGCATATAGAATATATTTACGCCGGGTATGGTGGCTCACGCCTGTAATCCCAGCATTTTGGGAGGCGGAGGCAGGTGGATCACCTGAGGTCAGGAGTTCGAGACCAGCCTGACTAACATGGTGAAACCCCATCTCTACTAAAAATACAAAAATTAGCCAGGCATAGTGGCAGGCGCCTATAATATAATCCCAGCTACTCAGGAGGCTGAGGCACGAGAATCGCTTGAACCCGGGAGGTGGAGGTTGCAGTGAGCTGAGATCGCACCACTGCCCTCCAGCCTGGACAATAAGAGCAGAACTCTGTCTTCAAAAAAATGAAAATAAAATATATATTTACAGGCCTACAACTTTTGCCTCAGACTGTTCCCCTTTTCTAAGGGTATTCAAGTTTTCACCTTTAAAGCTTCATATCCTCAGTGCTTGTAGAATGATGAGCTAGAGGTACCAGGTCATTGCAGTTGTTTGCTTAAAGACTTATTGAAATGGTTACTGGCGTAAATACTTGGCCAACTCAACTTTATTGCCCCGGCCTTTTCCATTTTTGTTTCCACCTTAACCTGTAGCAGCCCCTCCAAATGAGGAATGCTGTAAGACTCATCAAACAGATTTTAACAATTTTATTATCCTGTGTGTCCTTATTTGCTTCTGTGAGATGTTTTTTTCTTACCTGAGATGAACTTTCAGGAGCATATTTGAACTCCAGACTGGTGTTCTGGGGCAAAGAGCTATTAGCCAAACTGATTCTATGCAGGTGAAGGATGCACTAAAGTTCTCACTTTAGTGAGACCTTTTCTAGCTATTCCAATACAGAGTTCTTTCTTATAGGGCTATTGATATTGACACCAAATGGAGTGGCTTCTCAGCCTCTTAATGTCTTAAGTAAGTGCTTAATTTGGAATAGAGAAACCAGTATATTTTAAACAAGAAAATTATTCTTTGTAGCAACTGTAAATTCTCCCATTATAACAGTGAACAGAGCTCCAGGTAATAATGCATAGGCATGTCAGGTTGCATCTGTGTATTTGACTACATTAGTATTAGTATTAGTGACGTCAGGTGGATATAAAAGAAAACCCTTGGAAAGAGAACTGCCTTAGCCATGATTTCAGAGAGAAACCATTAGTAGACCTATTTATGATTCAATTACAGTTTTCAGATAGGATGTGAACATGGAATTTCATTGAAAATAGTTTAATTTTTTATATAAAAGGTTTTGTATATAATGTGTGTCAGTGACTATTTTCAAAATCATTTTCATCAAGACACCTTTTTTCTAAAATAGGCATTGCATACACGCACATGTACGTGCTCACGCACACACATTTTTTGTATAATGTTGGGTTTGATTGTAAAAGTGTTGTCAAATCTGTTTTATTTATCTGCATATAGCAGTGATTGGCTTTTTTGAATTGAAATTTTTGTGCATTGATGCATTGAAATAAGGAAAATTATTTATCTCTGAGCAGTAAGCTTATTTTTGCATATTTCTGTAATATTGCAATTCCCAGATCCAGATCGTGGGAAGTTAGGGAAAAGGTGTGATTTTGTGTTTTGAATTACTGTCAGAATTACATACACAATTACAATAAACTTTTTTTAAAAGACATTTCATTGTACTGCAGAAATCTGAATATTTATATTTCTTGTTTTTTTCTTTATATATTTTGCATTTTAATATGTTGAGCCACTGGAAATTTGTAAGATTAATTTGTTATAGGAGTTTAAATGTGTTGTCATTGTCTCCATTGTCTTTGTCCAGAGCCTATTATTATGGAAACAATAAAATTTATTGTGTCAGTTGCTTTGATTATTTATAGGTGTCAGTAGCTGTTCTTAATATGTAATTTTCTTATTATTGCTCTTTTCTTCTCCGGTTGGGTTTTAGTGTATTCCCTTCATTGGTTTATACATCTTGCTCTTTTTTAAACAGAAGAGTGAACATAAAATGGTAAATTATTTCTCACTTGCTTTTGTCTTCTCAAAATGACAAAAACCGTGAACATTTTTAGTTACAAAGAAGAATATTGAGTAAAGGAAAAATCCCCTTGAACTTTGAGGCCCTAATTCCCCTCCATTTCCTAGTGTGCACTCTAATGGTTTGATATGTATCCTTGTAGACCCTTTTAAATGTGTCTTAAAGAGTATATAAATGTTCTCTTTTCTTTTTCTTTTATATTCTCTCTGATTATTTTTTTAAATCACATTTTATTCTCTTAGATCCCTCTTTTTACTTTTTTAACAAATGGGTTAAAAAGTCTGTGTTCTGGACTTGTTCTTCTTCCCTTCTATTGGTACATCATCAGCATTGTTCTGTGTCCATATAGATTTACTTTTTACATACTGTCCCATAGAATGGGTGTACAATGATCTGTTCCAACTATTCTGTTTTGTGTTTTTTTAGGAAATGTAATTCTTATTTTAAATTTTTTTATTTCCATAGGTTTTTGGGGAACAGGTGGTATTTGGTTACATGAGTAAGTTCTTTAGTGGTGATTTGTGAGATTTTGGTGCACCCATCACCTGAGCAGTATACACTGAACCCAATTTGTAGCCTTTTACCCTTCACCCTCTTCCCACCCCTTCCCCTCTAAGTTCCCATAGTCCATTGTATCATTCTTAATGCCTTTGTATCCTCATGGCTTAGCTCCCACTTAGAGATTGGTTTTCCATTCCTGAGTTTCTTCTCTTAGAATAATAGTCTCCAATCCCATCCAGGCTGCGAATGCCATTAATTCTTTTTTTTTTTTGAGATGGAGTTTCACTTTTGTCGCCCAGGCTGATGCCATCTCGGCTTACTGCGACCTCTGCCTCCTGGGTTCGAGCAGTTCTCCCTGAGCCTCCCGAGTAGCTGGGATTACAGGCATGATTACGCCTGGCTAAGTTTTGTATTTTTAGTAGAGATGGGGTTTTACCATGTTGGCCAGCCTGGTCTGGAACTCCTGATCTCAGGTGATCTGCCTGCCTCAGCCTCCCAAAGTGCTGAGGTTACAGGTGTGAGCCACCATGCCCAGTCAATTCATTCCGTTTAGTGGCTGTGTGGTATTCCATCGTGTACACACACATACACACACAAACACCACACCAACTATTCTCTGTTGATGGATGGTTAGGTTCATTTGACTATTTCAGTTTCTTTAGGGTTGATCCTGGAAAGAAATTGCTGAAAAGTCATAAATTGTGTTTTTTAATGTCACATTGCCTTCCCAAAATGCTATACAAATATGTACTCCTACCAGCATGTATATCCATTTCCTAGTATTCTTTGTGATCCTAGTTAATTGTAATCCTAAGTCTGTGAGGTCAAACTTTTTAACGTGTACCAGCTATTTGTATGTGAGTGTAATTGCTTATTATGTCCTTTGACAATTTTTATATGAAATTAGGGTTTTTTCTTAATGATTTGGAGGACCTCTGTAGATAATAGGTATTAATATTTTTCCTGAGAGGTATGTCTAGTCAGCTGTGTTCAGAATCCTGCCTTGATTATGTGTGATGTTAAGCAAGTTACATAATCTTTCTAGAGTTCAGCTTTATCGTCTGGAAAATGAGGATAATATACATGGGTGGTTTGTATTAATAATCTAAAGCATTTGGGTAGTGTAAGCCCTGACACTTGAGAAGCGTTAGCTGTTCCTGCACCAATACCCCACTGCATTAATCATTGTAGCCAGATGCTTTATTTGTATACCTGATGGGAAGCTGCTCTGTCTTACGCTTTTTGTTTGTTTTTGTGTGGGGAGGCTAATCTAGGACACTTAGTCTTTAAGATGAACTGTAGTCTGTACTTTATTTTGATTTTTCTTCAAAAAATTCTGAGATTTTTATTGGATTTACACAAAATAATATGTCCTGGGGGAAATTGACAACAATAAGCACGGCATGATATATGCATTTCTTGGGTCTTTTATTCTTTTAGCAAACTTTTTATTAGATTCTTGTTTATTTTTACTAACCATCTTGATTTTATTTGAGAGCAAATTTTTATCCCGTAGTAGGTATGAGGTCATTTTCATTATTACAACCAGTTAATTTACCTGTCCTTTCTGATGATCATATAGTAAATCCGAATTAGTGTCCTACCTTTTCTGTGAATAAAGCTGACTTTGCCACACTTTTTAAAGCACACACCAAGACAGGCTTGTTCAGTCACAGGATTCTGGGCCTTGCTAACATGAGCCAGTGTCCTGGGGAGTCTGAGCTGGCATACCTAACTTAAATCTCCTGCACGAAGTCCTCTTTGCCTCTTACATCACATTCTCATTTATTGGGTGCTTAGTCTGTCCTGGGTACCACTCTCGGCACTTTATATACTTGACCTTGTTTAGTCTGAATATTACCGTATAAAGCAGAAATACCCGATTTATAGATGAAGGAACTGAGGCTAACGTTAAGGAACTTACTTGAGGTCGCATAGCTAAGTCATAGGTCTGGGTTTTAAACCCAGATCTGTTTAATTCCAAAGCACAGTATTTTACTGCCTGTCTCTGATACAGGAATAGCATGCTGATTTTCATGACTAACAAAGGCACTGAAGGTAATGTGATTACACAGTTCATATGGGGGAAACTACAAGTATGTAATAGACCATATAGGGCAAAGTAAGGTAAGTACCTAGGTCTATGTGATTTAAAAGGAGAGGGAAGAATATCTGTGGTGTAAAGAGTGTTATAAAGAAGCAAGAGCTGGACTTGTGCAGTCCATCTTTGACCTTTTCCTGCTGGTTCCCTATGAAGAGGTTTATGGAGAAAAGCGTCATCCCAGCAGCTGGGCCATAGGGGCGGTGGGGGGTTATGTCCACCTTGGAAAAGGTAAGCAGAGCAATGTTGACTATTTGCATTTTATGAACTGTCAGAAGTTTAACAAGAAAACCTTTCCTGGAAGGCTTGTATGACTCCCTCTCACATTCCCAGACCAAGTGAGACTTGCTGGTACGGATAAACTTCAACAGGCCATTTAGAAAAAGCTCAAGAGAACCTGGCCGGGCGCGGGGGCTCACGCCTGGAATCCCAGCACTTTGGGAGGCCGAGGCGGGCGGATCACGAGGTCAGGAGATTGAGACCATCCTGGCTAACACAGGGAAACCCAGTCTCTACTAAAAATACAAAAAAATTTAGCCCAGCGTGGTGGCGGTGCCTGTGATCCCAGCTACTCGGGAGGCTGAGGCAGGAGAATGGCGTGAACCCGGGAGGCGGAGCTTGCAGTGAGCCGAGATCTCGCCACTGCACTCCAGCCTGGGCGACAGAGCGAGACTCCGTCTCAAAAAAAAAAAAAAAAAAAAAAAAAACCTCAAGAGAACTATGGAAACAGGCAAGAATGAGAGACCGCAACATACATAGGAGAGAGTAGGGATTAATGGAAAAATTGATTTTTCACATTCATTCAATAGAATGCATTTGTTTTTTCTACGTAGTCTGTCAGCTAATAGAAACAAAAAACCTACCAGGCTCACAAAGGTTTCATTGCTGACAAGTGTGCTGCAGAATTAACTTGGGGAGAACTTTCTTGTCATCACCACCCCTCTTTTAATCCCCCTGGTAGCAAGTCAGTTTAATTCAGTAAACATTACTTAATAATTTGTGTGCTCCACTGCTGGGAATTTAGGAATACAAATATGGGTAGGATATTGTCTATACTCAATAATAGCTAACAGTGCTAAGTAGGGGCCAGGATCTACTCTTATGAGTTGCCATACATTAACTCATTTAGTCCTCAATCCTGTGAGCTGGGTACTGTTTTCCTTTTTTTTTTTTTTACAGGTGAGAAAACAGGCACAGTTGTTAAATAATAGTCACCACTCAACTAGCAAGCGAATGGGCCAGAATTCAAACCCAGGCAGTCTATGTACAGTCTATGCAGGCTTTTAACTTTACATAAATTGATATAAAGTGGGCTTTCTTAAGTTATAAGGATACAAGAAAAATTCTCGAGTGTATGAGGAGATTAATTTGGCCCGAGGGAATCAAGAAAATACGTGGCTTTGAGGAATAAGTATGAATATGGTTTATATTTTGTGAAGTATTTACAAGTTTAAAGAACCATGTATTTAATTTAAAATGTTAAATTTGAACAACATAAAGGGGTTCAAAATAAAAAGCAACTAATACTTCACCCTCCAGAGGAAGTTTGTATCCCTTATCTCAAATGCTTGGGACAAGAAGTGTGTTTCAGATTTTAGAATATATATATATATTTTTGTTGTTGTTGTTGTTGTTTGTTTGTTTGTTTTTTTGGTGACAGAGTCTCACTCTGTTACCCAGGCTGGAGTGCAGTGGCGCAATCTTGCTCACTGCAACCTCTGCCTCCCGGGTTCAAGTGATTCTCCTACCTCAGCTTCCTGAGTAGCTGGGATTACAGGCATCTGCCACCACACCCAGCTAATTTTTGTATTTTTAGTAGAGACAGGGTTTCACCATGTTGGCCAGGCTGGTCTCGAACTCCTGACCTCAAGTGATCCACCCGCCTCGGCCTCCCAAAATGCTGGGATTACAGACATGAACTACCACTCCCGACCTGGAATATTTTCATATATATGTAATGACATCTTGGGGATGGGACCCAAGTTTAAACATGAAATTCATTTATGTTTTTTATACACATAGCCTGGGGGTAATGTTATACACTATTTTAAATCATGTTGTGTGTCAAATAAAGTATTGACTGACCCTTCACATGAGGTCAGATGTGGAATCTTCCATTTGTGGCTTCATGTTGGCACTCAAGTTTCAGATTTTGGAACATTTCAAGTTAGGGATTCTCAACCTGTATTTGCATTCCAGCTTAGGGGAAGAAGGAATGAGTGA